CCATTCCCCTCTCTAAAAAATGAATAAACAAAATCCATAAAAAAAGATTCTTCAAGACTGCTGCCAGTTTTACAACCAAGGATTGTCTTTCTTAAGCACCCAGGAACCATGTCTTTGAAATATAAACATCAGAGGAGCTAGCACCCCTGTCTCATAGTCTCTGTGCAAAGGTGGAAGCCTAACTTAGATGGGTTCTGACTAGCACACCCAAATGGCGTAATGACACAGAAAAACATTTGCAAACTCAAGAGTTAATGTGCTCCACACTTGCCACTGACCAACTTTCCCCTGGTAGTTCAGTATTTTCCCATTATCTCACCCCAGGGCCAAAAACCTTCCCACCTTTTGCTTCAGTACAATTGAGTTGTTTCTTTCCCCCCTTTTACCATAATCTTTTTTTAAGTATATTTTGTTGATTATACTAGTGCAGTTTTCCCAATTTTTTTCTCCCCATTATTCCCCCTACACCCTGCAACCCTCACCCTCCAGCTAACCCCCTTACTTTATGTCCATGGTTCATACATACAAGTTCTTTGGCTTTTCTGTTTCCTATACTATTCTTAACCTCTCCCCTTCTATTTTATGCCTAGCAATTATGCTACTTATTCCCTGTACCTTTCCCTCCTATTCTTCCCTTCCCCCTCCTAAAAACCCTCCATGTGATCTCCATTTCTCTGGTTCTGTTCCATTCTAGTTGTTTGCTTAGATTTTTGTTTGTTTGTTTTTCAATTTCATTTGTTGATAGTTATGAGTTTGTTCTCATTTTACTGTTCATAGTTTTTTTTAAAGATTTTATTTATTTATTTTTAGAGAGGGAAGGGAGGGAGAAAGAGAGAGAGAGAGAGAGAGAAACATCAATGTGCGGTTGCTGGGGGCCGTGGCCTGCAACCCAGGCATGTGCCCTAACTGGGAATCAAACCTGTGACACTTTGGTTCGAAGCCCGCACTAAATCCACTGAGCTATGCCAGCCAGGGCAGTTCATAGTTCTTGATCTTCTTCTTAGATGAGTCCCTTTAACATTTCATATAATAAGGGCTTGGTGATGATAAACTCCTTTAGCTTTACCTTGTTGGGAAAGCTATTTATCTGCTCTTCCATTCTAAATGACAGCTTTGCTGGATAGCATAATCTTGGACATAGGTACTTGCCTTTCATGACTTGGAATACTTCTTTCCAGCCCCTTCTTGCCAGTAAGGTTTCTTTTGAGAAATCAGCTGATAGTCTTATAGAAACTCCTTTATAGGTAACTGTCTCCTTTCTTCTTGCTGCTTTTAAGATTCTTTCTTTATCTTTAATCTTGGGTAATGTAATTTATGATGTGCGTTGGTGTATTCCTCCTTGGGTCCAATTTCTTTGGGACTCTCTAGGCTTCCTGGAAGTCTATTTCCTTCACTAGATTGAGGAAGTTTTCCTTCATTATTTGTTCAAATAAGTTTTCAATTTCTTGCTCTTGTTCTTCTCCTTCTGGTACCCCTATAATTCAGATGTTAGAGCCCTTAAAGTGGTCCCATAGGTTCCTAAGCCTCTCCTTTTTTTTTTTTTTTTTTTGAATTCTTGTTTCTTCATTCTGTTCTGGTTGAATGTTTATTTTTTACTTTTGTTCCACATCATTGCTTGGAGTCCCAGTTTCCTTCCCTACACTGTTGTTTCCCGTATATTTTCCTTTATTTCACTTTGGGTAGCCTTCATTTCTTCCTTCATTTTGCACTGAACTCAGTCAGTTCTGTGGGCATCCTGATTACCAGTGTTGTGAAATATGCATCAGATAGGTTAGCTATCTTCTCATTGCTTAGCTCTTTTTCTGGGGTTGTGATTCATTCTTTCATTTGGGCCACATTTCTTTGTCTTGGTGCACCTGTTATGTTGTAAGGGGGCAGGGCCTTAGGTATTTGCCTAGGCAGGTCAACCCTCTTTGCTGCGCTGTGGTGCTGTCTATAGGGGAGGTGTCAGAGAAGGAACAATGCTGCTTGCTTGCTCTGCTCTAGCCCCACTTTTCAGAGAACTCTCCTCTAAGACTGGGAGTTTCCCCCACTGTTGCAAACCCTGCAGTATTTTACAGCTAGTTTTGAGTCTTTAGTTTCCCATTCAGCCAGCCCCGCCTTGCTCATGCAGTCTGCTGCCTTGCTGCATGTCCTCTTCACTGAGCTGCCATTCTCCTGTCTCCACCCCTCCTACCAGTCTGGGTGAATGTTTCTTTAACTCCTTGGTTGTCAGAGTTCCATGCAATTTGATTTTCTGGCACTTCTGTTTGTTTATTATTTTTAAATTGGTTATTATCTTTCTTTTTGTTGTATGAAGAAGTGAAGCATTTCTACCTATAACTCTATCTTGGCCAGAACACTGCCATAGTCTTGAATAAAGTATTAATTACCTATTTCATTGTGTCCAGTGAACTTTTTGTGGACACTCTTTATTTCTGGCTACTCTCCCAGATGGACACTTTCTTATTCTACTTGGGCTTGGATTTCCCACACCAGGCCAGCCCTCTATTTAGACACCTTGCTCATGGTGCTTGAGTTCTGTCACCCCATGCTGGGCTGCCACCATGCATGTACACCCTTCTCACTCCTCTCTGGCTATGACACACTTTAGTATCCACACTGGAGGTGGATACCATTTTCACACTGTCCAGCTTCTGACTCCTCATCTGAGATCACCCCTCTGAGAGGCCACCTTCCTGGCCCCTGACTTACTTGTCTGGGCTACTGAGACTTTTCTTCTCTTCCACCAGATATCTACCTTTTCCTGCCCATTCAGTGGTTTTAGGACTGAACTGTCTGAAAATGAAGGAGAAGGCAAGAGGAAGAAAAGGGAAGAGGCAGAATTCATTTATTTTATTCCAGATGTTTTTGCCCTAGCCATACATTGAAATTAAGAACAAACTGACAGTAACCAGAGGAGAGGTGGGGGGAGGATACTGGGGAGAAAATATGGAAGGGTTTTCAGAAACATCTATAAAGGACACATGGACAAAATCAAAGGTGGGTAGGATCAGGGGTAGGAAGTGAGGATGGATGGGGTGGGTGGGGATTGGTGGGGTGAAAGTGGAGGCAAATGTACTTGAATAACAATTAAAAAAGCAAAAAAAGTGAAAAAAAGAAATGTTTAGGGAGCCTTTAAAATTACTGATGTTTGGTCCTTTTCCTAGAGAGATATGCTTGTCCAATAGAGGTCTCGTGTATCTGCATTTTCTGATAATTTGCAAATGCTAACTGAAGTCTAACTGAGAACCTCTCCTTATTAGGAACAAATAGGAATGTAGGAGTTCAGGTGAGTGTGAGGATCTGCAGAATGGAGCATGTGAGAAAGCCCATCTGATGCCTTCAATTTTGTCCTTTATGTAGAAAGAAATGTCATCAAGTGAGAGTGACAGTGGTTAAAATTGTTAGGGTGTGGGAAGCAGAGAATAATGAATATGCTTATTTAGAGAGGGAGATGAAGCTTAATAAGGAACTATAGACAGTGGGCAGTGTACAGTGCCTATTTGAAGTTAAAAGCTTCAGGACCTGGTAAATTTCTAAATATTAAATTTATATATTTTTAAACATATGTATAGAAAAAATAGAAAAAGTAAACAATGGAAAACAGAGATTGTGTTTGGATAGTATGATATTACCCCTTCTTTGTATAACAATGTTAATCTTAAGTTTGAAAATGAACCCTTATGTTGAAACCAGAAAAGCTGGCATTCATGCTGCCTGTCACTATCAGAACCAACAAGTAGAGACAAATATTCAGTCTTTATGGGTGCTTCATTCAGATAGTTGGTGATCTGAGAAGAGGGCAGTTATGTACCCTCAAAAACCATCTTAACATTGCACTTTAAGCTGACATTTTTATAAAGGGAAGAGAGGAAAGTAAGGTGTTGGGAAAAAAAAAGATTAATGGGATAAGAGTTGTAGTCCAGCAGTGATTTTCCTAGTCCTTCTTTATAGTTGGTCAGAAATTCTCCCTGGAACTCAATAGTTCAGCTGCCATCTTCATTAATTGCAGACTCCCTGGGGCAGGAAGGTAGAATTGCTTATGGACCTCCTGGAGTCACATGGTCAAGCATTCCAGTTCCTGGAACCATGGCTTTCAACTTGCCTTAATCACTTAAGCCTATCAACTAAAGCTAAAATATTGAACTCTTGAGTTCCCCTATCAATTACACTCATAATAGAAAAATTAATGTTCTACTTTTCAAAATAAAATGAAATAAATGGTGATCCAGCACAAAGAATAATTTAGGGGCACTATATTATTTTTGCTAGAGCTAACTAGAACTGCAGACTTGCTGGCTTAAAAATCAGAAATTTATTTCCTCACAATTCTAGAGGCTAGAAGTCTGAGATCAATGCGTGGCACGACTATATCTTCTGAGGCCTCTCTCCTTGGCTTATATGGATAGATAGCATATTCCCTGTGTCCTCACCTGGTTTTTCTGTGTGTGTCTATGTTCAAATCTCCTCTTCTTACAAGGACACTGACCATATTGAATTAGAGTCCACCCTAAAGAGCTTGCTTTACCGTAATTACCCTTTTAAAGACCCTATCTCCCAATACAGTCACCTGATGAGGTGCTGAGGATTAGGACTTCACCATAGCATTTTCAGGGACACAATTAGCCCATAACAGCTGATTAAATCACACTGAGATTTTAATTTTCTCTAGGTCTTTCTGTTTTCTTTTTTCTGTATATTTCCACCTTCCACACCCCCTGCTAGTTTCTTATTCTTATCACTTAAACTCTGCCTGATGAATGAATAGTTTCTAAGCAATCATTCAAATTTATTGATAATTTTTGTGATGTCAATTTTTAAATATCTTACATTCTTCCAAATCCAAACAAATATGTCTCAAATGAAACTGAAACTTCCTGTTCCTGCTTCCTCATTCTGCTTCTGCTCCACACCTCTCCCACACCCTCAGGTCGAGTCCGCACATCGAGACACAGAAAACTTCACAACTCAATGGCTTAATTTTTAAATAAGGATCTTTACTAATATTTGTCTCCTAGACATCAGAAGAGGAATAAGGAAACCAAAGTTAAAAGAAACTGTTTCAAGTTTTTGATATTAAAAGAGAAAGCTTTCAGGAAAATCCTGGTAAGTTGCTGAATCAAACCTTATTTTTATGCTTCTGAGGGGACAGCAAGTTTTTAAAACTCCAACTGTAGCCTTTATATAAATACATGTGTTTGTATGCAAAACATTACTTGTAAAAATACTGAGATTAATTAGAACTACAAAAGAACAAAGTACATATCAATATATTTAACTGAGGCTAAGTTTTTAAGTGTACTTACAGTGATGAGAGTTTTTCGTTTGTGTATAGAGTGTGAAAGATGATTAGAGAAACAATGTGAATAAGTTCAAAAATATAAGGTTAAAAATTGTGAAGAAACCAAGGTCCTGTGCAATTATACAAATTTCTATCTCATGTTAACTTCAGATTAAAAATTTTGATATTGATAGCTTGGTGGCAGATCCCGTGCTCCTGGGCAAGATGGCAACAAAAGATAGCATTGCACTGAGCACACACAAGGCTAGTGAGAAAATTGAATATCGAGAGGAAGCCCCCCTATGCCCTTACAGTACCTGATTGGGGTGCGACCAGGGAAAGGCAGGAGCGTGCACCTGGAGGTCAGCATTGTGGCAGGGGTGGGTGCGAGACAGAGAAACCTGCCAGTCTGGCCTGAGGAAAAGAAGGAATTGGTGGGGTACAGACCCTGCTGGAGTGAGTGGAAGTTGGGATATTATTTGGGCATTTTCAGAAAGTATCTGGGCCCTCCCACACCAGAAATGATATGATACCAAAGGAAGGAAGGGACACCACTTGTGATCATGCTTGCTGGTACATTTGTGGGACCATCCAGACCTGGAAGCCACATGACAAATGGTGGCACTGGACCTACATGTGGGTTCCAAAAGGGAGCCAGAAGCAGCAGTGGTTGGGGGAAAAGCTGAGGTGCCTGGATGACCACTCAGTGACTGCCTTCAATTCCCAAATTATGGTACTTTAAATGAGAGAAGGAACTCTGGACACTGCCATAAGTTCTGATCTGGCTGATGACAGCTGGGTTCTTCTCTGGGTTTTCTGGAGGAGATGGGCTTTGAGACTAGAGCCTGCCATTCTCCCAGACTGTGCAGCATTTGAATAAAAACCTCTTTTCTTTCTCACAAGATTCTATCTCTAGAATTGGCCTATTGGAGAAAATAGGCAGCTGAACTCAACTTTGGTTTCGTTAACAGTTTCACATTTCATCAAAGATGTACAGCAGAGGCTATTCTTCTATGTAAGTGTTTCTTTCAAATTCATCTCATACAGCAATTTAGTTAAACACTAAAATGAAAACTACAGGAAGTGAAATTTAACTTGTTTGGGTGTAGTTTCAGTTTGCAGACCATTAAAGGAGTGTGCATGTAGTCTTCCTGGGCAAGAGCAAGGATTTCCTGAGTGCCTTTCCCCCACTATCAACTGCAAGATCCTGCCAAGCAGAACAATCCCATGGGGCAGGGGTGTCTGGAGTGCTACTGAGAACCCTCCCCCAGATGGGGGTGGGGGCGTACCAGTGCTTGTTCCTAACAGCTCTGTTAATTTGGTACTTTTTGGGCAATAACTAAAGAGAGAAATGTGGAGTAATCACTCCAGAATAGCATCCTGCCACTCCTTTGCCAACAATTAATGTTACTGCTACCAATAAAATTTATGTTCACAGTGTTTTCAAAACAAGAGACTGAGGGCCCCTAGGAAGCCAAGTGTTAGGTCAAGTCATTTTCAACTGTGCACAACAGTCATGGTGATTTTGATAGTTACTCAGCTCCAACAATATATATGCAGATTTTCTTAAAGTTGATAAAATACAAACTACTTCAGAAGTATTATTGAATATAATAGGTGCAAATCATTATATGCTCACAACTGTTACCATGTGGGGGGAGAAGGGAGTTGAGTACTTTTGACATTATCAGCCCAAGGGTATTATTGAAGACTTTACTATATTATATTAAACCAAGATATTGTCAACTCTTCCTTTTAATACAAAGAAAGCTCCAGAGTTGAGAGAATAAATGTCAATGATATTACAGAGAAGAGTATTTCTTTCTGTCTCCCAGTATGTATTAGCAGAATCTGAACAAAAGGAAGTGAGGGAATGCTGTCACCTTTTGGTGGCACCAAGTTCCCCATGTAGCAGCCCCTACATGGGACACAGCACACAATGAGGCCCCAGCTGTGTAGAGGACAAAGAGCTGTAAGAAAAAGGGATGGACTGCAGTAGAAATGTCCTGATGGGCTGCTTCAGCTGGAGAATGTGGAGCCCAGTTTGAATAGTATAATCACTGGCTAAACTAAAAGAGAACATCTGGACTCTGTCCTCACAGTCTTCAAGGTGTCTTCACAGAGAGAGGTGAATGGTTAAATTACTGAACGAGAACTCTGGCAAAGGGAAAGTACTGCCTCATCACAGCTGATCAGAGTGTGTCTGCAGAAAGGGGCAAGCCCCTCACCACGGTCAGCCTCCCTGTGCAGAGGCAGCAGATGAAAACAGCAGAGGCACTGAGGCTCTGACACCAAGGACCTGCAGTAGAAAGGGACCTCCTCTGGGGAAAACTTGGCAAGAGTAATGGCCTTGTTTAGAGACAGAGCAGAAGACTGAAATGGGATATTATGAAACCGGGGTACCTGGGAGGACTGCAAGAAAGAACATTTATTAATGTTCCTTTCCTTTTGATAACTTGCCTTTTCAATCTTTGTTACCAGAAGACTGAAGGTAGAGTTAGTTCTGGCCAAACAGGTGGCACAGTGAAGATTGTTCCAGATTTCTGTCTGGAATTTTAGCCAAATGAAATAACTGCCCTAGTCCTTGGGCCCACAGGCACTGATAACTCAAGGGTTTTCAAAAACTCATTATTTTTAACTACTCTAAGAAATGTTATTCATCAGATAAATTTTTGTTAAGAAACTACTATTTTCTGGGCACAGTCATATAGTGGACAAAAAGCACAAAACTTCCCATTCTCATCAAAAACACAGAATAATGGATGGGAAAGAGAATAAACAAGACAAATAGGTAAAAAATATATGGAACATTTGATTGTAATAAGACATAAGTAGATTTTTTAAGCAGAAGGGAAGTAAGAAATATTGAGTAACAAGATACAGTTTTCTGTAGGTGGGCCAAGCAGTGCCTCTGTGAGGAGGTGTCATTTGATAAGAGACCTGAGTGCAGTGCAGCCCTGTACCAGGTGGGAATCCAGGGACATTCCAGGGAAAGGAAACAAGTTCAATGCCAGAGCAGGAGCAGTTACTGCCTGCAATGAGCAGCAAGGACATCAGGGGGCTGGGCCTGATTAAGAGAGAGAAATAAAAGTAAGATGGGGTAACAGGGTGCCAGGTCCTGTAAGGCCTTGAGTTCACAATGAGCTTGGCTTTCACTCTGAGTCAAGTGGAAAGCCACTGGAAAGGACTGAACAGAGTATTGTGTGTTATTTACATTCAAACAGGCTCATTCTGGCTGCTGTGTTTAGAATTCACAAGAGGGAACAAAAACAGCAAGAGGGAGACTAGTGAGGGTGCTACTCCTGTAATCCAGGGAGAGAAGGTGGAGGCTTGGACCAGGTGGCAGAAGTGGGGGTGGTGGCAGTGGCCAGATGCTGGACATGCTTTGAAGATACAACTTACAGGATGTGCTCCACATTGAACAAATGTGGAGGTAGACATGCTGAACACATGGAATGCAGAAGAAAAGGAAGGAAGGGGGGGAGGGAGGGAGGGAGGGAGGAAGAAAGAATGAAAAATCATACATATTTATGATTGATTATTTTATTAAAATATTTAAATATAAAAGAGATGTGCTAGGTAAAAGATGTTCCTTTTACTATTCTTTCAAATCTTCTGCATGTCTGAAAATTCTCATAGTAGAAAGTTTAGGGGAAAATATGTCCCATAAACAGTCCCTAAGCAACAGGCCAATCAACTGCATTTTAATTTGCTGTGACATAATTTTTTTCATATAACAGATTCTCAACAAATACATCCTCAGCCAAAACTAGGAAAAGACTGGGTGTGTTCTGCTTACACCTTTACTTCCTTGGACAGGTTTTCCAGAACATGACTGTTGCAAATTCTTAAGGAAATGAAACTCATCCAAACAGCCAAGCACAGCTATGCCACACTCTGTCCTATTATATAATCAAGATGATATCATAAGTTTACATTACATTAAAGACTAAGACCATCAAAGTTTAATTATTTTATTTCAGGCTTTCCTTCATAACTAGCTGGTACAGAGACTATGTGAAAAAGAAATACATAATTTTAACATGCACTTTGTAAAATGAAACTCACTTGCTTTGTAGTTTCAGTTCTGAGTAACATCAGAGCAGAGCACAGGCCTGCTGGTCTCCAGCCAGGATTGCAGGAACACTTTCCTGGATGTAGGGACGCTTTCGAGCTGCTAGGCCCAGCCTCCTAGAGACAGGCTGGGCACCTTTGCTTGTGCTGCTACTTTGACCTTCCGGATCGCCCCCCGAGAGAACATTAAAGTCCTTAGGACACAGATCCTGAAATTTAGTACTCATAAGTAGAACTCTGGGGTTCAAACTGTTCCCAGAGCAGAAGAGAGGAGGTAAGGTGGAGGTCTTCTCCCCAGCTCTACCCAGAGCAACACCTTTACCCACTTGAAGAAGCAGAACTAGAAATAGCAACAACCAAGACAATCCTGGTTCTGGTCCAAATCCCCTATACCATGAATGGGAAAACACGTTGACTGGGAAAAGGAGAAAAAAGTTAATGACTTTTTTTCCCTAATCACCACTGTTCCCCCTTTATTTGCATACAGTAGGTAGTTATTGACAAATAAAAAGATCCCTCCTGTTTAAAAATATGCAAACACTTCAGGATTTAAATTCAATTGGATGATGCTCTTAAAGGATTTTGTAAGCCTCAAGACAGTGAACATAAGTGTATCATGATTATACTTAATGTTTAAACAGGATTGTGTTGGCTGCAGTATTGGAAATAGATTTGAATGAGAGGGGGTGTGAGGACATGATAGGGGGTGAGGAAAAGTGAGAAAGTAATAGGATCAATGGATTAAAGGTCTTGATAAAGACACATTAGAGTTTGAGCACTAACAGTAGTGACTGTAAGGTGAGGAGACAGCAGTTAAATATTTGAATCCAAGATGATGGAAGGCTTGTAAACTACTAATGATTCTATTAGTCTCTTAGGGCTGCTGTAACAAAGTATAACAAACTGAGTAGCTTAAAGAACTAAAATACATTGCTTCACAGTTCTGGAGGCTGGATGTCTTCAAGATCTGGGAATTAGTTGGTTCTCTCTGAGGGCTATGAGGAAAAATGTGTTCCATGCCTCTCCCCTAGCTTCTGGTGGCTTGTTAGCAATCTCTGCCATTCCTTGGCTTATAGAGGCACCACCGCAATCTCTGGCTTCACGTTCACATGATGTTATCCTTATGTATGTGCCTCTGGGTCCAGATTTTCCTTTTTTATAATGATATCAGTCACATTGAGTCAGGGCCCACTCTAATGGTGTCAGGTTACCTAGTTACATCTGCACTACCCTTGTTTCCAAACAAGCACACATTCTGAGGTACTGATACTAGAACTTCAACACATGAATTTTAGGGGGTGGAATGTTCACACAAATCAATCAGTAACAGTCATGGTAAGGTCAATAGTGTGACCATGAACATGGAGATGGGTGGAGGTCAAGATCATTAGATGAGAAGCAGACAACGAGGTGAAAGTCCAACATACTGAAATGATCATCTACATGTCTACTGAGCCATCACAAATCATGACAGGAATAGTGTCTGAGGGCATGAGTGCCTCCTCCCTTCAGCTGTCTACAGATGGAGGTCAAAATGTTGCACTGGCCAAAAGTTAGTTTAGGGTTTTTTTTTTGGTAACATGGCTCTAGTAGTGCCCAGTTATCTTTAACTTCACTCAGACAACTTTGTAAGAATGTTGTTACGGCATACATTTAAAAAAAAAAAAACATCAAAAATGGTAAATTTGTGTAGCCATTTTCATATTGAAGATGGAAGAAAATAAGCAACATTTTTGACATATGTTTTACTATTTTAAGAAAGGTAAAAAAGCATCTGAAACACAAAAAAGATTTGTGCAGTGTATATGGAGAAGGTGCTGTGACTGACTGAACATCTCAAAAGTGGTTTGCGAAGTTTCGTGCTAGAGATGTCTTGCTGGATGATGCTCTTGGTAGTTCAGCTGAAGTTGACAGTGATCAAATTGAGACATTAATTGAGAACCATCAAGGTTCTACCATGCAGGAGATAGCTGACACATTCAAAAAGAAAAAGATCAAAAGTATGAACATTAAACTGGCAACAAATTGACAACCATCGACAACTAAATTTAATTAAAAAATTAAGCAAAAAAAGAAGAATAGGAACAAAATCATAGATATGGAGATCATTTGGAGGATTATCAGTTGGGGGGAAGGAAAAATGGGGAGGAAGGTACAGGGATTAAGAAGTACAAATTGGTAGGTACAAAATGAAGGCATGTCAAGAACAGCATAGGAAATGCAGTAGCCAAAGAACTTATATGCATGACCCATGGACATGAACTTGGTGGGGGAGGGCAGTACTGCTGGAGGGAATGGGGGTACTGGGTGGAAGCGGAGGGGAGGAAAAAAACTGGGACTACTCTAATAGCATAATCAATAAAATATATTTTTAATCAATAAAGTCATTGGTGAAAATGAAAAATGTGTCTTCTATTTTTTGAAGAAAAACTAAACACATTTTTTGGCCAACCCAATATACTAAAATTTATAAAAAGCAAGTATTCAGCAAATTCTTAAAGATATAATATTTCAACACCAAAGTTTAAAATAACATGGTAGTCTATTTTTTATTCTGCCTTTTCTCTCAGTAACTTCAAAAATCTTTCATTAGGAATACATTTACTAATAACTCCTTATACTATTGGCTTCATACAGTGCTTATAAACAGGGGAAGCAGAGCCCCTCCCTTCAGTCTTACCTGAGGTGACAGGGCCACTGCAGGGGAGACAGGAGGATCAGGGATGAGCCTCCCAAGATCCCAGAGTCAAGGAGACATGTACTTGTCTGTTATGCCCTCTTCCCAGAATTACCTTTGGCAGGACCAGTACCTGGCTCTGGGAGAAGCAGATGCTGCCTGTGGTTGGAGCACCACCTCACCAATATTCTTCATACCCACCAGATAGACCTTTGGTACTCTACCAGATCCAATTCCATATGTCATGATTGTCTCCTTTGACCTGACTCACACCCTCTACTAGCACCCCTCCTTTAACTTCACTGTACAATGTCCCCACTGTGCTCCAAGTGATACTCCCCTACTACTCACAGGTCCCAGTTCCCTGGCCTTTACTGTATCTTACACAAAGTACTTATCACAATTTGTCATTGTGATAAAGTCTTTTCAGTGAGTGTGTGTGTATGTGTGGTTTTTCCTCCATTAGATTGTAAGTACTATGAAGAAACTTCACATTTCTTCTGGTTACCGCTGTTTTCTTGAGCATGATGCCTAACAGGTGCTCAATAAATATTTGGTACATAACAGGTGCTCAATCAACATTTGTTGAATGAATAAACAAATAACACAATTCAAGGTGAAATAATATTTATCTCTAGTAATAATATATGCACTGATATTTGTGGCCCTCTAACACCTCTTCCATCTACACTGTATATAAACAGGATTGATCATCTGAAATATTTTTAATATGTTCATTTTTTCCAGTTGCTCTGAGTTCTGCTACCTGGCTCAGCACTAGGTGTGCCCTACAGACTGAAGTCAGACTGACTAATGTGATTCAAGACACTAAGGCACTGAGACAAGTTTCATCAAGGCAAGTAGCAGCTCCTATGCCTAGTGGATGTGCACCTATAAAAGGGGTAAAGGATTTGGGTAGGCTTATGATATTCACACCAGAAATGACGAGCATGGGTTTCTTCTCTGGCCAGTCACAGGACTGCAGACTGAGGCCTCAGTTTAGCTCACTGTTCACATTCGACCTCCAGGAGACCTCACCAGGAAGCTTTTGCAAGCAGTTCCAAACACAAATGGGTCAAATTTTCAATCTGGCTAGGTTTGGTGACTTGTTATACACTACAAGTTGTTAAAATCTAGTCCCTTAAATCGTTCACTTAAAAGACCCAAAGGTTTTTATATGTTTGTGTTTCCTCCATTTACATAATATTTTGTTTTGCCTGATCCTTCATGCTTTTAGTCTATCCTTCTAATACTTTTCCTCCCTTGTTTTCCCTTATGTAAACAACATTATTGATTTGTCTTTTTACTTCAGATTTGGGATTGGAGCAATAGATCAGGGTTGGAGCCTGAAAAATTCATTTCTAGCCATCTTCCAAATGAGGCTGATGCTTTTTGCTAATCCAGAGACTACATTTTGAGAACTGCTCCCAACCTTATCTGCACAATAGGATACTCCAAAAAAATTCTCCACTCCACTCCCTTTAACAATTAATGAGACTAGAAACTCGAGCACCAACTTACACCTTATACCAAAATAAATTCAAGGTGGATAAAAGACTTAAATATAAACTGTGACACCATTAAAGTCCTAGAGGAGAACATAGGTAGGAAAATCTCAGATATTTCATGCAGAAACTTTTTTACTGACATGTCCCCTAGAGCAAGGGACATAAAGGAAAGAATAAACAAATGGGACCTCATCAAAATAAAAAGCTTCTGCACAGCTAAAGAAAACAGTATCAAAATAAAAAAGAGAACCAACTGTATGGGAAAACATATTTGCCAATGATACCTCAGACAAGGGTTTAATCTCCAAAATATATAAAGAACTTACATGACTCCACTCTAAGAAGACAAGCAACCCAATTAAAAAATGGGCAAAGGACTTGAACAGACACTTCCCCAAGGAGGACATATAGAAGATCCAAAGACACATTAAACAATATTCAATATTGCTAGCTATCAGAGAGATGCAAATTAAAACCACAATGAGATACCACTTCACACCAGTCAGAATGGCCATCATAAACAAAGCAACAAACAACAAGTGTTGGAGAGTTTGTGTAGAAAAGGGGACCCTAGTGCACTGTTGGTGGGACTGCAGACTGGTACAACCACTATGGAAAGCAGTATGGAACTTCCTTAGAAAACTAAAAATGGATCTGCCTTTTGACCCAGCAATTCCACTGTTGGGACTATATCCTAAGAACACTAAAACACCAATACAAAAGAACCTTTGCACCCCAATGTTCATAGCAGCACAATTTACAATAGCTAGGTGCTAGAAGCAGCCTAGATGCTCATCAGTAAGTGAATGGATCAAAAAACTATGGTACATTTACACAATGGAACTCTATGCAGCAGAAAGAAAGAAGGAGCTCCTACCCTTTGCAACAGCTTGGATGGAGCTGGAAAGCATTATGCTAAGTGAAAAAAGCCAGGTGGTGAAAGACAAATACTATATGATCTCACCATTAACAGGAACCTAAACAAAACAAAGAAACAAGCAAAATATAACCAAAGACACTTAAATAGAGGACAGGCTGACAGTGACCAGAGGGGAGAGAAGAGGGAATTTCAGGGGAGAATGGGAAGGGTTTACAGGAACAAATTTAAAGGACACATGGATAAAAACTAGGGTGATGGGGGTAATGGGAGGGAAGTGGGGAGGGTTGGGTGGGTGGGCTGGAATGGGAGTAAAAGGGAGAAAACTGTACTTGAACAATGATTAAAATTTTTAAAAAAAAGCAATTAATGAGACTACCTGAATGTGGAGTCCCCAATGATTCTAATATTAATCCAGGGTTAAGGACCCCTAATCTAGGGTGTTCAAGGATACTCAGCTCTTGCAATTTAACAAAGTGCATAACTGTGAAAACTTTATTAGTCTCATATCAATAATTTAGGCTAAAATGGTTTTAATAAAGTTGAAAATGCATATTATTTTCCTTATCTCATTTCAGGCAGGCCAGACAACTTTGAACTTGAGCTGAAGTACCTCTGAACACCACAAGAATAGCCAACCAAATCAATTATCTAACATTTTGCTACCACATCACCCAAAGCTCCAGCCTTGGCTGGCCTACTAGCTTGGTTTCAAAAGGACAACAGGTGATATGTTTACCAACAGCTTTGACTGTGTAAGAAAAATGGCCAGCCTCCTGGCTGCAAATGAAGTTTACTATTCTCCAACCCACCTCCACTTATCCAGTTTCATATTTTAAAGTTCATGTGCAACATTTATCTTGGGAACCAATTTCTCTATTATTTAAGATTCTGGTTTTAATTTACATTAAAAGAAAAAAGCCTTTCACCATGTTAAGTATAAAAGGGAAAATAGGGATATAGGAGTGTGTACTCCTAGTAGGCAATTACAAAAGCTGCTGCTTATTTTGTAATCACATTATAATCATCTAGGAAACAAGGGCACTAATTGGAATATAAAACAATTAAAATAAGTACCAAGCGGTGTAAGAATAGAACCTTGAACAATATTTATAGATGTTGTTTATGTGAAATTTTACATGTATAATTGATTCTGTGACTTCAATGATAAAGTACCACACTAAAATACTTCCTGTATTACTTTTTCCAAGGAAGGAGGTTGCAGCTCTGATATGGGTGAACAACTAAATCTACCTGAAATGATCAAAGACTGGAACAAAGAGCACGTGAAACAATGGGTAACCAAAGACCTTAAGATTGAGGAAAAATATGGACAGATTCTTTTCCATGAAGAAGTGACAGGATTAGTCCTGCAGGAATCAACTGAGAAGGATCTTAGAGACATGGGGCTACCACGGGGCCCAGCACTTCTGATAAAGCGAGCATATGACAAATTGAGTAACAATCTCCCTGAAAATCACAACCACACTTCTGGACAAGTAGATCATAGAAAACCCTGCAAAAAAGAACACCATAAAAAGGTACAAGAGACAAAAAAAGAACAGGGAAAATCAGTGTCATCCAATAGTGATCATAATCTCAGCAAGACCAGAGATACCAAAGAACAAGAATCAGTTCTTATGAAAGAAAATGCATTAAATGAAGTAGCAACCACTGAAGACAGAAAAAATACTAAGCTAAAACCTGAACAGCTGACTTGCATGCCACATCCTTTTGATCAGCCCCAGAGCAGCCATCGGTACATAGAACATTACCTCCTACCACCTGAAACAGGACCAGGCAATCTCATAGACCCCATTCATGAGTACAAAGCCCTCACACACACAGACACGGCCACAGAAAAGGACATTAGGATGAAATTTAGCAATGAAGTCTTCCGATTCGCATCAGCTTGTATGAATTCACGCACCAATGGCACCATCCATTTTGGGGTCAAGGACAAACCCCATGGAGAAATTGTTGGCGTGAAAGTCACCAGTAAAGCTGCCTTCATTGACCACTTCAATCAAATGATCACAAAATATTTTGAAGATAGTGAAATCAATGAAGCCAGGAAGTGCATTCGGGAGCCAAGGTTTGTGGAAGTCCTCCTGCAGGACAGTACACCATCTGACAGATTTGTCATTGAGGTAGATGTTATTCCAAAACACTCTGTATGTAAAGAAAAGTATTTCTACATTATGATGCAAACCCATGAAAATGAAACATGGAAACATAGCGAAGAACTTTCATTGTTTGTGAGAGAAGGGGCTAGTTCTAAGGATATCCGGGCCAATGTCAAGCGACGGGATGTGGAATTCAAAGCATTTTTTAAAAAGTTAAAGTCACTAGCACTGTCTAGAAAAGAGGCTGAAGAAAAGTATGAGGCAAAGGCAAATAAGAAGGAGAGTGAAGGACAAAAGCTGGTTAAACTTCTCATAGGAAACCGAGAGTCACTGGATAATTCATACTACAACTGGTATATTCTCGTAACAAATAAATGCCATCCAAACCAAACAAAGAACTTAGATTTCCTAAGGGAAATTAAATGGTTTGCTGTATTGGACTTTGATCCTGAATCTGAGTGCAAGGGGGTGGCCAAAGCTTACCAAAAAAGCCGGGTGGCAAATCTTCACTTTCCAAGTCAATATGAGGAAAAGACAGCGACCATAATGGAGAAAAAATCTCGCCTGAATCTTTATGATCAGCCCAGCTGGATCTTCTGCAATGGCAGATCAGACTTGAAAGAAGAGAGGTTTAAGCCTCTAGAACCACATTTATGGCAGAAAGAAAGAGCTTCTGGAGTCAGGCAACTGATTTTATTTCTCACAGACGAAAATGTCATGACAAAAGGGAAATTTCTGGTAGTGTTTCTATTGCTCTCTCCAGTGCAAAGCCCAGGAGACCCACTCCTTGAAACCTTCTCTGCTTTCTACCAAGCTCTCAAAGGAATGGAAAGTATATTGTGTATCTGTGTAAACTCACAGATTCATCAACGATGGAAAGATCTACTACAAGCCAGGTTGACAATTGTGGATGAATTAGCAGACCACAGTGTTTCCACTTTAAATTTAGAATTGATAAACAGTACTATCCTTAAACTGAAACCAGTCACTCAGTCATCAAGACGGTTCCTGCCATCCTGTGGATCTTCTTCCATTATCTTAGACAAAAAAGTAGAGGATATTTTGACCACACTGGAAATTCTCTGTGAAAATGAGTGTAAAGACACAGATATCGAGAAAAACAAATCTAAGTTCCAAGAATTTAAGAAAACAAAAGAAGAGCACTTTTATCGAGGTGGCAAAGTGTCCTGGTGGAACTTCTATTTTTCTTCTGAAAATTATTCCTCAGCTTTTGTCAAAAGAGATAATTATGAAAACCTTAAAGATCTGATACAGCGTCAGGCAGAGTCTCCTAAACCATTATTTGTAAAAATTATCAGTCTTTACCATCATCCAGGCTGTGGGGGTACTACATTGGCCATGAATGTCCTCTGGGACCTAAAGAAAAAGTTCAGGTGTGCCATGTTAAAAAACAAAGGAACTGATTTTGCCGAAACTGCAGAACAAGTGTTCAAGTTGATTACCTACAAGGCTACCAGCCCTCAGGACTACATTCCTGTACTTCTCCTGGTGGATGACTTTGAAGAACAGGAAAATGTCTGCATTCTACAGGATAGGATCCATTCCATTTTGGTGGCAAATGGCTTGAGATATGAAAAAACATTGGTAATTATCTTAAACTGCATGAGATCCCAGAATCCTGATCAAAGTGCAAAACTAGCAGACAGTATTGCACTAAAACACCAGCTTTCTGCCAAGGAACAAAGAGCTTTTGAGGCCAAACTGGAGGAAATTGAAAAGCAACATAAGAACTGTGAAAACTTTTATTCCTTCATGATCATGAAAGAAAATTTTGATAAATCATACGTAGAAAATGTAGTCAAGAATATCCTAAAAGGACAGAATATCAACAGCAAGGAAGCACAACTCATTTCTTTCTTGGCTCTACTCAACTCTTATGTTACTGATTTTACAATTTCAGTGTCACACTGTGAAACATTTTTGGGAATCACATGCACTCGTACTCCCTGGAAACCTGAAAGCATAGAGGACAAGATGGGAACCTATTCGACACTTCTAATCAACACAGAAGTTGCTGAATATTGCGGATATGCAGGTGTGCGCATCATTCACCCTCTGGTTGCCAGTTGTTGTCTCAAAGAGCTGGAAAGCAGCTACCACTTGGATAAGTGTCAAATTGCATTGATGTTATTGAGAGAGAATTTATTCTATGATTCTGGAATAGGAAAAGATAAATTCCAACATTATGTGCAAACCCTTCTGCTTACAAGACAGCGCAAAGAGTATGGAGATGAAACAGACACTTTGTTTTCTCCACTAATTGAAGCTTTAGAGAATGATGATGTTGAAAAGGTCTTGAAACAAGGAAGTGTTCGCTTCCCACGGAATGCATTCATTTGTCAGGCCTTAGCAAGACATTTCTACATTAAAGAAAAAGACTTTGACACTGCTCTCTACTGGGCAAATGAGGCCAGGAATAAAGCCCCTAAAAATTCCTATATCTCAGATACACTTGGCCAGGTGTACAAAAGTAAAATCAAATGGTGGTTGGATGAAAACAAAAACTGCAGGGATATCACTGTTAATGATCTAACACATTTCCTGGAAGCTGCTGAAAATGCAGCAAGAGCTTTCAAAAAATCCCAGGAGCAAACTGATAGGAAAGACTATGAAACAGAGACCTGGTACCCACAGAAGTCCCAAAGAAAATATGACATGTACAATACAGCTGGTTTCTTGGGTGAAGTAGAAGTTGGTCTTTACACTATTCAGATTCTTCAGCTCACTCCCTGTTTCCACAAAGAAGAAGAATCATCTAAAAAAGCTATGGCAGAATTTTTATCAGGAAAGGGGAATATTCCTACAGATCCAAGAAATGAATATTATTTGGCTCTTAACAATTTCACATCCTACTTAAAGAACTTGCAGTCAGATATGAAAAAGTGCTTTGACTTTTTTACAGATTATTTGGTTCTTTTAAAAACAAGGAATATGCTAAAAGAAACAGTAGAAATCTTATTAAGCAAGAAAATCAGTTATTGTTTCAGTAAATACGTGGAACATTTCTGCCCTTTGGATTTGGGTTCATTACAAAGCAAAGAGTGTCAGTTACTCCAAGAGGAGAATTGTAGGAAAAGTCTAGAAGCTTTGAGAGCAGATAAGTTTTCTGGACTTCTAGAATATCTTAACCCTAATCACAAAGATGCTGCAACCACTATGGAAAATGTAGTGAACCAGTACACTTTCCTCTTTCAGCAAAATCCACATAAACGGCTAGCAAAGGAGAAACAAAATTTCATTTTGGCCAACATTATTCTCAACTGTTTAAAACCCAACTCCAAGTCCATTCAGCCACTTAACATACTTAAAAAACAGCTCCGAGAAGTGTTACAATTGGTAGAACTAAGTCATCCATATCCAGACCCTTATTTCTTGGCCTGCCTGCTGTTCTGGCCAGAAAATGAAGAGGTAGATGAAGATACCAACCTAATGGAAAAGTATGTTTCATCCTTAAACAGATCCTTCAATAGACAGTACAGGAGAATGTGCAGGTCCAAGCAGGCAAGCACACTTTTCTACCTGGGGAAGAGGAAGGGGCTCAACAGTCTTGTTCACAAGGCAGAGATAGAGCAGCACTTCAGTAAAGTACAAAATATAAATTCCTTCTGGCAGAGTGGAGATGTGTGGAAAAAAGAGGAAGTCAAAGACCTCCTGCGTCGTCTCACTGGTCTGGCTGAAGGCAAGAAAATCTCTATTGAATATGGAACAGAGAAAAAAATAAAAATACCAGTAACATCTGTTTATTCAGGTCCACTCAGAAGTGGTGGCAACATAGAAAGAGTGTCCTTCTACCTGGGCTTTTCCATTGAAGGCCCTCTAGCATATGACATAGAAGTTATATAAGATATACTAGCTCAAATGTTTTTATTCATATTTCTCTGATCTTATTTCCTATATTCCCATGGCACTGTGATGACATTATTGGGTTACCTCTGTCACATATTTTGGGTTTATCTCCCCAAATAAAATATAAGCCTAGGTAGGGCATGAAACATGTCTACACATCAGGGTTTGGCACACAGTGGAGTCAACTTTCAATGTTTTAAAGATGTGCTTTCAGAATAACATTTAATTAAGAGGTTTCAATTCATATCCACTGGTCACATCATTACTGGTTATAGGTCAATAACATCTATTTTAATTCTATCACTCCCATGAACTTTCTGAATCATGAATTATTTCATCACTGTGAAAGCAGAGATGTAAGATGAACATGGGAGAGAAAGCCCTGTTAGCCTACCGAACTCCGGCACAGAGCTCCACACAGAGCGCCATTTCCCTCACCTTGGTGTCCACGAACGTGTATTATGTGGAAGGTAACTGTTTTGTTCCCATCCTCCATGTAGCCCTCTACACACACACACACATGCCTATTTCCTTGTACCTCTTGCCCTTCTCTCAATTCCTCGCTTTGTGTTGGAAGGGGAGAGAAGACAACCAAGTAGTCACAAGCCTGAGCTCCGTCCATCCTCTTCTCCCATTTACAAATGAAGCTGTTTTTCTGTCCATCCTTGCCACCTGTCAACACAGGTGGCAAGTTCCCCCTGTTCTTTGGGTTCCATCTCTCTGGCTTTTTTCATTTGCTACCCAATTTACTCTCTTTACTTCTCAACCTGTGCTTTGTGAATGCTGTTCTCTCTCTCAAATATCCCCTTATTTTCATGCATTTTCAGTATACGGCTATTCTGATTTCTCCATCGCAACTCAGTTCGAGTAACCAACCACCAGGAAGTCTTCCCTGCCACGTAACCCCTGCCTGATTAGATGACTTCCTTGTGACAATGTGTGCTCCAAACTTGCCAGCACGAGGAATGCCATCCCAGAACCTTGTTCTTAGACTTTCCCCAGGCAGAAGGGCGTGGAACAGCATTCTAGGGCTTGGATTTCGGGAGGTATCTATTGCCTATGAAGTGAAACACATGCTAACATAAATTGAATATTAATTAAATACATACTTATTTATCCACTATTTTACATATCCATACAATGTAACTTAGAAATTCCAGGCTTCAAACCCAATTCCTTTTGTCATCCAGATGGCTATTTCCTAGCAGGGTTCCTCTCACCAGTTTCTCTGAACCTCTGGGCAATACTGACGTGGTCCACAAACACGTCCCTGTTGCTAGAAGCCACATCAGCTGCTGATCCTGCTTCAAATTTCTGCTTCCCTCTTCTGCAATCACCTGACATCTGGTAGCAGGCTCTCCCAAGTGGCTTCACTTCCCCAAATCCTCACAGGCCAGTCCCTTAACCCTTCATAACTCAGTTAAATCCAGGCTATAGTACTCAGCAACACTTAGCTAAAGGCTTGACATAAGAGGAAACAAAGTTATAAGAGAAGGAAGAAAAACTGTTATATGTTCCTGTTATCCATGACTTCCCTCTGAGTTTACAGGCCCAGCTCCCATACACGGTTTATCAACCGGGCCTCCCTCTCCTCAGCCCCCTTTCAACAGCCATGATATAGGACGGTCCTGGCTCAACTATCCTAGATGAGACAACCCCTAAACGGGAATCCTTCACTCACAGACTAGGGTGCCAACCCTCCAAGGGCCCCAGAAAGAACTATGCTTCTTCTGAAGAGGAATATAAACTACAGGGATGTCACCCCACCCACACTGAGGACAAGGTTCTACATCATTATCCAGAGAAGTTCAACTCCCCATTTCAGAAGGTACTTTGGGCTTCACTCTTCTAGAATCAAAGAGCCCATTAAAGTGCTTAAAAAAAAAAAACAAAAACAAATGCCATGTTAGGCAGGATAGATAGCAAACCAAGGCAGAGAGGCAGGGAGATATATCTCACTCATCGACTCTGCAGCCCTCAGCCTGGTCAGCTAAGACTGCCTGCTGTTCTGAAAAACCATGATCATGCAGGAGGAGGGGAGCTCTTGAAATTCTGCATGTCATTTCCACTATCTGGGAAAGGAAGCCTTTGAAACTGTATATTAATCCCAAGGTCTGGAGAGGGAAGGAGGAGGGGGAACCTAGAAGCTGCTTACAAGCATAAAAGCCCTAAAACTCCAATAGTTGGGGAAATCAGGCTAGCTAGGTGCCCTCTTGAAGCTTCTTGCTCAAGTGTGTTCATAAATAAACTTGCTATCTCATTTCCACTATATGTATTGTCTCTTGCCTGAACTCATCTCATGCAAGCTGAGACAAAAACCAAGGAGGGGAGGACCCTAACTCACCCCGCCACCCAGCCCCACCCCCACCCCAGTAATACCTAGTCTTTTTTCAAAGGCGAACTTGTGTACTACCTACAGGAAAACTTCACCTTCAATTCCAGTTCATCCCATTTTCACCATTTGTATTTCAAAACTATTGGCATCCAACTTCTGCTCAGGGAAGTCCATTGAAAATTAAAGCAACAATTTTTAACTGACTCTTCCTTTTCTCTCTCTCTTTATCTCTATTTTTCTTTCTTTTTTTTGTTTTGAATTGTCATTGGGAAAAACAAAGTAGAAAAAGAAATTGTAAGACTGAGTATTTGTTTGTAATACTACCTGTTAATCCTACCACACTTTTCCTCAAGTCCTACTCATGAGGACTCTGTACCCTTGGGTTATCTGCAGCCTGTTCAAGGCTCCACCTACTTCTCGAATTATCAGCTCTACCCACACAGGTAAATTAACTCACTATCTAGTCAGGACACACAGGCAAGTCAGAATCCTGGTTTTCTCATTTGCAAGATAAGTGAAATAAACTTGGTTCACAGGTATCTATTGAGGATTAAACTGGCCAGCATAAGTTATGTGTCTGCCACTCAGTAGGGTCTTTTAGGAGGCAAATTTAAATATCTTTATTGAAGTAATTCACATACCATAGAATTCTATGGTATACTATATGTAGTATGGTAATAGTATACATATAAAGTATACTATTCACCATTGGTTCGTATATCATCAGCACCATCAGTACCATCAGTTTTAGAACAGTCTCAGCACCCCAAAGAAAGCTTGTACCCATTAGCCATCAATCACCATTCACCCCTTCCCCTTGCCCCTGGCAAGCACTCTTTGTCTCTATGGATTTCCCCATTCTGGGCATTTCATATCATTGGAGTCATACAATATGTGGTCTTTTGCAAATGTGTTTTCAAGGTCCATCCATGTAGTATCATATATGGTTATGAATACTTCATTCCTGTTTACTGTCAACTACATTTCATCGTTAGGATAGACTGCATTTTGTTTATCCAATGATTATAGGCAATTTACTTTTATAAAGCACTAAATATTGTTTTATTTATTTAAGAAGGGTGTATTTTACCAACTTTGCTTAGGCCATCTTAAATTTAAACACTAGTTACCTGTGTCACTCCATTTCAGTCTTTACTTAAAGGAACTTACTCACTGATACTCAAATTCAAGCCCCTTCTCCTAACCACACAGCCTGGTTTTCTCACACTGTGGTGTTGACCCCTTTTCCAGTATTCATCCTCATATGTAGGTGTGCTGCATTATATCATTTATTTATACGATTTTAAATAGAAACATTATTTCTTTAGTAGTTAAAAAGCTAACCATCACATTTGAAACAGGGAACTGAATAGTTAGATAAAAACAAAACAAACCCATAGATTTTTTAGTTCATACTCATGCCCAAATTACATATAAACTGAGGGAAAAAATTACAGCCCGGAATGTTTCCTCAAACAATTTGAAATGTTTTATTTTTTCATTGCTGTTTGAGAGAGAAATGTTATTCCTAAGTACCCAATATACATGACCTAAAAGCCAGAATATCTTTGAACATGGTTAGCTTCCAGGGAGCATTATGAAGCCACCATACAATAGCTCATCGGGAGTGAATAAGTACAGACCCTTCAGGTCACCAAATCCCTTGGGAAACAATCATTCTCTTTTCCCATAGTAACCATGCTTTCAATATTTCTTCAAAATATATGACTAGATGAATAAAGAGACTGGCTTAGAGAAAATTAAACTCATTAAGCTTGGTATTTCTCTAAAGGGATAACTGGTATATAGTTTAGAAATACCTATGATATGGAATACACACCCAATGTGGGATTTATAATCATGTGAACAGTACTTAAAGTTACCAAATACACCCTTAACAATGAGAAATGTAACAACACGGAAGAAATTTTTTAAGAAAACTCAGAAGTCAGTGGCCTGCTTAAAGCTGAGTAACCCTTGGGTAAACAAAGCATACCCACATGCTCTGAATGTAACCAATTTTTTTAACATTATGTGGACTAAAAACACTGTTGTCCTAACAAGTCCAGTCCCTGTGGGAAAGTTGGGCCTTCCAGGGTAGATGGGACAATGTTGTATCTGCTGCTCACAGGACACAAGCCCGTTCCTGAAGGCAGCCAGCTTTTCAAAGAGCCTCATGTGCTCAAAAACTGAAGATGGGTATTGAGTCTCACCAGACACAGGAGATTCTTGTTCTTACAGTCTTAGAAAAATGGAAAACAGCACTCAAAGGGAGTCATGGCATACAATTTATAGGTCCATCCAGAAAGAAAAGTTAGTAAGCGCTAGATATTTAACAGAATGTATCTATGTGGTCCGCTATTATTTGAAAGGTATCTCAATTATGTGCCAAGGAGCAAGATCTACCTGGTAGGATACAATATCCACAGGTTACCCTCACAATGTCACTTTGCCTTATTCTTTTAACCAGTTGTATTAAGTTTCTAACTGCCCGCTCAATGTGTATGAAGCAGGTTCATTTTGCTGGCTCATATTGGGAATTCTGAAATGATGTTCACTACAGATACTGTAAAAATATAAACATTTGCCAGTGGGTGCCACATCTGAGCACTCCTAAGATGGTGAGAACATACTAGACATCCTAACATTAGGCCAGCTGTTATGGGTACCATAATCTAAGTCACCTGTTCCTCATGTAAGGGGGAGTAGTAAAATTGTGATGCCTGGCAGTCTCAACCTCTTAATACTGATGTGAGGAGTATGATTATGTCTTCATTCCTAAACTAGCCCAGTCAGATGACACCAGTTCCTTATTTCATTTTGACTTATACAGTGGCCAGACACAGAGACTTACCACACCTTAAAGGGCATTGCTTCTGGTACAGATTTTAACAAAGCCTTGAGAGTTTTTTTATAAAGTTAAACACACACCTACTTGATCAAGCAATTCCATGCCAAGGTGTTTACCAAAGACAAATGAAGACATATTCCCCAAAATCATGTACAAAAATAGTGGTAGCAGCTTTATACATGACTTCCAAAAGGTGAAGTAACTCAGATGTCAATATGAAGAACTTGGATAAATAAATTGTGTAATATTGACAAAATAGAATACTATTCCAAAATAACAAAGAGCAAAGTACTGATACGTGAAACACTAGGACCAATCTCAATTAAGTATGTTAAATAAAAGAAGCCAGTCACAGAAGGCGATATACCATATGATACCATGTATATGAACACCTGGAGCATGTAAAACTAATCTATGGTGAAAAATAAAATCAGAAGAGTGGCTTCCTCTGGAGGACATTAGGAGTGACAGGGGAGGGACATGCTATAACAGAAATGTTCTATATTTAGATTAGGGTGTGGGTTATTCTGGTTTGTCAAACCATTTGTGCCCTGGTCATATTAGTTAGGGTTCTCCAGAGAAACAGAACTAACAGGATATATACAAATATAGATACGTGTGTGTGCATATATGTAAACTATATGTATGGTTACATTATTTCACATCCCTGTGCCTCAGTTTCTTCAGCTGTAAAATGTAAATAAAAATAGCATCTACCTGAGAGGATTTTTTTGAAGAGTAAATAAGTTAACAGTGCATGGTACACAGTGAGTGCCCAATAAATGTTTTAAACCCATATAAAAACCACTATGAATCAACAATGAAACATGGAAACCAAAAGCTAATTGGGCTCACACAGTAAGTATTGGCACCTGCTATTAATTTTTTTAAATGTTAACTATTTTTGTGGCTATTAGTCAGTTCTCTACCTTGCCCTGAGACTGCCCTTAAAGAGATAAATCCCTGCAAACTGGCCACAGGGGCCTCATCACTGCTCTGCGCTACAGAACTAATTCAGAGGCCTTTAGTATTTACAGGGAGCTTGTAAGAGTCTCTGAAAGCCAATCCTTTATACTTTAGGAAAACTTAAGGATATGAGTTAGCCCACCCTGGAAGGCCAGTGGAAGACCAACATAAGCTGTTTCCTACCCAGAGCTCCCCAAGGCTCCCAACCACAGTGAAAACGGGTACTCCCAGAGGATCCACTCAGCCTGCCCCAGAGTTTGTCTGTAGCCACCAAAACGGGCTCTCAGCGGTCCTCAACACTCTGAAGCAGAGAACAGATTTGAAACCTTTGGATTTTACCCAGACAGCCCAGAAGGTGGCAGAGTAATGGCTTACAAAAAAAACGCATTTTAGAAAAATGCAAAATCATTTCTACAAGTAAACTCCAATCCAGGAAAATGAAACTAAAAGCAGACCACAGGCTTCTTCCTCCTACCTGCCAGTTTTGACACACCCATTTCTGAGACGCACACACCCAGCTGTTTCTGAGGCAGTTAGAGCAGCAATGAGATAAAAGCAGAGCATAAATGAACATTCTTAAAAATGGGAAAGAAAAAAGTGTCTATCTGACATCATAGGAGGAAGAAAACACAGACGGTAGACTTTTCTGCACTGAAATACATGGTTTCCCCCTCATACAAGTAGAAGAAATTTGCAAGACGACCTGGGTAAGTACAATATTGAATATTAATATTATTATTACTAAATGCAACAGCATTTTATTGAATAGGAAGGAATCTACAATTAGAAAATTGAAATATACCCCCAAACCAGAAATAATACTTAAGTCAAACATCCTAGACTTCATTGCTGTGACAGGAGTTGGCTTTACATTTGTTGAAAAATAACATTCCACAAAAGATGCAATTGTAAACGAAAAGCACTTTTACTGATGAAATCCTCCAAGGTATTAGCATCTTCAGAAAGAACATATAGTGAAAATTTATTTTAAGTATATTTTACTGATTATGTTATTACAGCTGTCCCATTTTTCCCCCTTTGCCCTCCTCTCTCCAGTACCCCCATTTCCTCCAGCATTCCCTATCCTTGGTTCATGTTCATGGGCCATGAACGTAAGTTCTTTGGCTTCTCCATTTCCTATACTATTCTTACATCCCGTACAATTGTCTATTTTGTACCTACCAGTTACGCTTTTTAATACCTGCATCTTTTCCCCCATTCTTTCCCTTCCCCCTCCCAGCTGATAACCTTCCAAATGATCTCCATATCTATGATTCTGTTCCTATTCTGGATATTTGCTTAATTTGTTTTATTTTTTTAATTCAGTTGTTGATAGTGCTCAATTTGTTGCCTTTTTAATGTTCATAGCTTTGATCATTTTCTTCTTCAATAAGTCCCTTTAACATTTCATGTAATAATGGCTTGAGGATGATGAACTCCTTTAGCTTTACCTTGTCTGGGAAGCTCTTTATCTGCCCTTCCATTCTAAATGATAGCTTTGCTGGATAGAGTAATCCAGTATCAGGTTGTAGGTCCTAGCTTTTCGTCACTTTGAATATTTCTTGCCAGCCCCTTCTAGTCTGTAAAATTTCTTTTGAGAAATCAGCTGACATTCTTATGGGAACTCCTTTGTAGGTAGCTCTCTGCTTTTCTCTTGCTGGTTTTTTTTTTAAGATTTTATTTATCTATTTTTAGAGAGGGGAAGGGAGGGAGAAAGAGAGAGAGAGAAACATCAATGTGTGGTTGCCTCTCACGTAGCCCCCACTGGGGACCTGGCCCGCAACCCAGGCATGTGCCCTGACTGGGTCTCTTGCTGCTTTTAAGAGTCTCTTTCTCTTTAACCTTTGGCATTTTAATTATAATGTATCTTGGTATGTGCATCTTTGTGTCCATCTTGTTTGGACTCTCTGTGCTTCCTGAACTTGTATTTCTATTTCCTGTGCCAAATTAGGTAAGTTCTCCTTCATTATTTTTTCAAGTAAGTTTTCGGTGTCTTCCTCTTCCTTTTCTCCTTCTGGCACCCCTATGACTCAGATGTTGGCATGTTTGAAGACGTCCCAGACATCTCCTCCTTTTTTTGAATTATACTCTCCTCAATTTTTTTTTGAATTCCTGTTTCTTTCTGTTCTAGTTGAATGTTTATTTCTTCTTTGTGTTTCACAGTGCTGAAATCTTCATTTCTTCCTTTATGTTGTTGTACTCAGTGAGTTCTTTGAGTATCCCAATCATCAGTGTTTTGAACTCTGCATCTGATAGATTGCTTATCTCCTTTTTTTTTTTTTTAGTTCTTTCACTGGGTTTTTGTTCTGTTCTTTCATTTGGGTCATATTTCTTTGTCTCCTCAATCTGACAGACTCCCTGTATTTGTTTCTGTGTATTAGGTAGAGCTGCTTTGACTCCCTGTAAAAAGCATCTGTAAATTGTGTGGGTTGGAGCCTTAGGTAATCACCAGGATGGGGCAACCCACTTCACCACTTTGTAGCTCTGTGTAGGGGGAAGGCTCAGAGCAGGTACTGTGCCTGCTTGGTGTCTGGGGGTTTGCCCAGCACTTGCACTATTTCTAGATACTCCACCCACTACCTGTATGTGGCTGGTGCCCCTCCAGCTGTTGCCCTGATGTTGAATCCAAGAGTGGGTGCGTTTATGTACATTTTAAGTGAGCCCTTAAGTGAAGTTTCCTCCATCAGTTTCTTCTGCCACCTCAACTCCCATTGGTTTTTACAGCCAGAAGTTATGAGGATTTATCTTCCTGGCACTATAACCCTGGGCTGTCCAATCGGGCCTGGGGCTGGGATTGCTCACTCCCAAGGTATCTATCTATCCCAGTGTCTACCTACCACACACAAATGTGGCATCTCCCGTGCCCATTCTGCTGCTGCCTCTCTGTGCCACACCTCGTCTCCTCACTTTTCTGCCCCGTCTCCATGTCTCTACCCTTCCTGTGCATCTGGATGATTGTGACTTCTTTAAATCCTTGGTTGTTGGACTTCCACATAATTCAATTTTCTGACAGTGGTGGATGTTATTTGTTTTGAGATTTAGTTGTAATTCTTTTTGTGGTTATCTGAAGAGGCAAAGCTTGTCTACCTATGCCTCTATCTTGACCAGAAGTCCAAAATTTTTTTAAAAAAGAAATTTTCAGGTAAAACAACTAGGGGATATTTACACAATGCAAAAAAGAAGAAAATGTTACCCTCTGGGACAGTATGGATGGATGTGTTGCATTTTGTGCCACACACCACCTGCCTATAATCAGCCACTGAGATACAAATACTTTATTAAGGGTCCCATGGTGAAACTCTCTTTCAGGAGACTTGGAAGTTGCTGTGCTGCATAACCATACAACACACGAGAGTAGATGGTTTCATTCTGCAGCCTGATTTCTTGGTTCTTTGGGTAGTACACTAAGGATCTATTCACTGTGGGGAGTCTTTTCCTTTTGTGAAGGGAGTGATCCCAGCCAAACAGCAGGCCCTGAGCATCACGCCAGCTCCCAACTAGGCTGGCACTTTCCACTTCTGGCTAACTGCTTTCCAGGCCATAGTGGGAAGCGCTGTGTGGCCCCACAGCCACTTGGGGCAGGGGAAGCGAGGGGGAGCAAGATGGCAGGTCACATACTGGGCCACAGGGCCTTTCACCTTAGTGTGCCCAGCCCAGAAAGTGGCCCAGACCTGAGGTATCAGTAGAAAAAGATGAGGTAGGCAGGACAGAAGGAGGGAGGGAGGACTGAGGCTGGGAAAGGGACAGGCAACAGGGAAGGAAAGCAGGAATGAGCAGCTTTCCCACCATCAGCTACACAATGAAAATTTAAAGATGTACTTTACTCCCTGGTTGGGGGTGAGTAAGAGGTAGGGATCAATGTTTCTCTCACACATTAATCTTTTTCTCTCTCCTTCCTTCTCTCTCCCTTCTCTTCTCTCTAAAAATAGATAAACTCTTTTAAAAAATAAAGATGTACCTTACATTAATCAAAGATACCTTCCACTATCTCTCCAAGAAGTAGGCAGCTGCCAGAAAATAAAGCTCCCTAATAGATTCTCAGAGAGACAAAGGGAGACAAACTGCTACAAAGTCTACAAAGACTTCTGTCTTTGAAATGATGGCAGCTATATGTTCCTGTTAAATATTGTAGATTTTTGCCCTGACTGGTGTAGCTCAGATGGTTGGGCAGCAAGTGGAAGGTCTCTGGCTTGGTTCGCGGTGAAGGCACCTGTCTGGATTGTGGGTTCAGTCCCTGGTCAGGGCATGTAGGACAGGCAACGGATGTCTCCCTTCCTCCCTTCCTTCCCCTCTCCCCAACAATAACTAATTAAATCTTCAATCCATTTCCTGATTAGAAAAAAAAAGTGCACTCGCTGCCACTACTAAAACAAAATGCTACAAATAGAATGATGTAATTTGTTCCCAAGACTATGGAAATACTAGAGCAATGTGAAAACAATAATAAAGCGAGATATTTCATGACAAACTTTGGGGGTAAAGTCAGCACTGTAATCCACAAATGATCTCAGGGTAAATGCTACAGCTACAAGTGCCCCAGGAAGATGGCAAGTATTCTCGGGTAAACGGGAAGTGGGTTATAAAATGCTAGTATTTTATGTCTAATTTCCTCCAAAGCAAGAAACAAGGGGATGTGGCATTACAGTTCTAAATAAAGGCCTGAAATTGAACTCTCCTTAGAAAAACCGACAAACGTTACAGTTAATAAATGTATGTGGGTTTGATCAGGTAACAAATGGTTTCCTTTTTCATATTAGTTGCCGAGAAGCTCAGTACCAAAATTTCAGGCCACTCCTAGTATATAGAACTGAAAAGTTATTTTAGGCATTAACTTTACTCCACGGCTTTATTTTTTTCTGCCTCCTACATTTTCTAATTAGCCTTGTCCCTGATTTTTTTTTACCCAAGGGTTTTGACATATATGTGATCCTATATAATCTTCTGAATTAACTAAACACCATTTTAGAACAAGGGAGGCTATAAAGGAATCATTAGTGTATGAAATACCTCTGAACAGCAGCATAAATGTGGGAAACGTAGATGTTAGCAATTTTCCTCTGGTGCAGCAATTTTCAACCTTTTTCAGTTTATGGCATACATAAACTAATTACTAAAATTTTGAGGCACACCAAAAAAATATATTTTTGTCAATATGACAAATACAGGTATAATTTTGATTCATTCACACAAGATGGCTATCATTGTATTGGCAGTTGTCATTTTTTTTATTTGAAAATCTAAAGGAAATGAGGTCAGTGCCCCTAAGTAAAGAGACATGGATTGCATGTTTTAAAAATTCTTGCAGGACACCAGTTAAAAATCACTGGTCTAGTGTATATTCTCCCAGAGTAGCATCTTTAACAATTTTTTAAAGTAAGTTACTGAAAGGCACAGCTATCAAGACTCTGATAAAGTCTTTAGAGGAAGCAATATGAAACTGCAAGCTGTTCAATCATGACTTAAAGATCATAGATACAGACAACAGAGGGGTGGGGGGAGGGTGAAGAGGATAAAGGAGATTAGATATATGGTGACAAAAGGAGACTAGACTTTAGGCGGTAAGCATACAATGCAATATACTGATGATGTATTTCAGAATTGTACACTTGAAACCTATATGCTATTAATTGATATCATCCCAATAAATTTAATTTAAAAAAATAGAAAAGATCCTTATCTGGTAGAGAAAACAGCTAAAAGTCATTTCTTTTTTATTTACTCACATTCCCAAATGTTCAGGCTCTGCTCCCCATCGACCTGGCTTTATGTTTTCACATAAATATGGTATATAGCTGATGCATGAATCAAATAACCCATCTAATTCGACATTCAGTCTCATAATCTGATTTTTGGATATCACTTAGGAGATAAGGGCTGAGTTTATAAAGCCCTGACTAGAAGTCAGGGAGACCCCTGGAGAAGTATACTGGTAGATGGGACAAGAGATGGGGCCTGAAAACTCCAGGCCCCATAAGGATTCAGGAGGCTAAACACCACTGGCAACAGAATGATCAGGGCACCCCCTGCCTTAGGTGTTCCAACGGTGTGGGTGCAACAGAAGTGAGCTGAACTTTTACAGGGTGGAGTAGATGAGACTTAGCAGATGGACATATTAAGATGACTCACATAACAGAGAGTCCCGGAGGAGGGTAGGTCTGAGCTTTAGACAATGATAAGCAGTATGAATCAACAGTATGAATCAACAGTGGCATGTAAAACCGAAAGCTGATCCATGATCTGAGGCTGCAATAATAAATCTCTAGCATAACTTTCAGACCTCAGATGCCCAAAATTGAATCAATCATTATCCTTGATTGGTAATATACCATTACCCTTTTCTAGGCCAATTATCTCTTTTATTTCACTCACCTGTTTAATTCACTGTATCATGCATTTTGGAGGCATCATTGGATTTTTACATGAAGTATAATTTGTATGAAATGAAAAAATCTTAAGGGTATATATAGTTCTATGAAATTTTTATGTATTCATCAGTCTAACCACTAACCAGATCAAGATATAAAATTATCAATCTTAAAAGTTAAACAACAAAAGTTACCAAGCAGTAAATGAGTTTATTTGGGAATAGCAGAAGAATTGCAATTTGGGACTTGCAAACTATGGCAGACCACAGCAGGTACAAAGAGACAAAAGGTCAGTTTGGGAGGGGGTTCTTAGAAGATATTGGGGAGGGTTGTTTTAACAGAAGCACACTGGCTGGGGCAGGGGGGCAGTGTACAAGGTTATGGCAATTTCTTATTGGCAGCAAGTTGAAAGCACTTGCTATTGCTGAGACAAACAGGGAAGAGGGAGAGCTCCCCCTTCATGGCTTCCCAACTCCATGCTGAATAAAGTTTCCTTTATTCATGTTCACAAAACAGTTTTTTTGTGTCACTCCTCAGAAAATATCTCCCTGCTAAAAAGTAACCGCTGAATTCTACTACAATAGATTAATTTTGCCTGTTCTTAAACTTCATGTAAACGGTATCCTACATTATTAAAACTGAAAAACGGTTTCCCAAACTGGCTAAAATAATTTATATTCATACCAGCAATGTACGAATCTTCTTTTGACTCTACCTCACGACCACCATTTGGTATTGTCAGATTTTATTTTTAGCCATTCTGCAAAGTATGTAGTATTATCTCATTGTAGTTTTACTTTGCATTTCCATGATGGTTAAAGATTTTGAAGCCATTTTAGATTCAAATTCATCACATTCATTCAAGTGATTGTCAAAAGCCCTACTGGTTTCTCTTCCTCACATCAGGCCAAGTCTAGCCCTCCACCCCAGCCCAGAATGAGCATATACCCCAAAGCTTACCTAGGAAGGGATCTTCCCTCTCTGGAAGTTTAGTTCAACCAGTCCCAGTCATCAAGTCCATCTACAACTCTGTGATAACTCCAAAGATACATTTTATAATTTATCTGATTTTTCCTCTAGCTGATACAGTGGGAGTGTTTATGGAATCTAGTACATCACACTGGGAAGTGGTACTCCTTTCATTTCTTCTTGAGTCAGTTTTGGTAAGTGTATTTTTCAAGAAACTTCTTCAGTTCACTTGTCTTCTAATTTACAGTATCTGATATTATTTGTGCCATTTCTTTTATTTCTTGGTCACCCTTTCCACAGGTATGTCAATTTTATTACTCTTTATCAAGAACAACTTTGGGGCTTTTGACTGTAACTCTGTTGTAACTTTGTTTTCCATTTTACAGATTTCTGCTCCTATCTTTTCCCCTCCTCCCTTCTACTTACTTCTGCCTTACTCTGTTGTTCTTTGAACTTATTAAATGGAAATTTAGTTTATGCTTTTTAATAATTCTTCTAGTTTTATAAAAGCATTTAGGCTATAAATATCTTTTCCAAGTATTGTTAACACTGTATCTCACAAGTTTTCAAATGCAGCATTTTTAAATAAAAATTGTATATACTTAAGGTATAAAACATAATGATTTTATATACATATGTATACATATATGACTGTTCTGATCAGGCTAATCAACATATCATCTCTTTACATAGTTACCATTTATTTTTGGAGTGACTCTATATCTGAAATCTACTCTCTTAGCATATTTCCAGTGTCCAAAACAGTACTATTAAGTATAGTCATCATGCTTGTACATTAGATCTCTAGACATTCATCCTACATAACTGCAAACTTCAAACCAACATCTGTCCATCCCTTCCCTCTCCAGCTCCTGATATCCCATTCTATGAATTTGATTTTTTTTATATTTTACCTATAAATGAGATGATACAGTAACTGCCTTTCTTTTTCTTTTCTTTTTCTTTTTATGGTTTATTTCACTTTGCACCATATCCTCTAGTTTTATCAATGTTGTCTCCAATGGCAGGATTTCCTTCTTTCTCATGGCCAAATAATATTCCATTGTGTATATATACATCACATCTTCTTTATCTATTCATCTTTCAACAGACACTTAGGTTGTTTCCATGTCTGGGCTATTATGAAAATGCTACAATGCTACTACAATATCTGTGAGTGCAGATATCTGTTTGAGATATTGATTTCATTTCCTTCTAATATATATCCAAAAGTAGAATTGCTGAATCATAATAGTAATTCTGTTTTTAATTTTAGGGAGAATCTCCATACTCTTTTCCACAACTGCTGTGCCAATTTACATTCCCACCAACAGTTTACAAGGGTTCCTTTTTCTCCATATCCTCATCAACACTTATCATCATTATCATCCAGCCTGGTCCTGGGCCAGGGCATGTGTCTAGGTTCATAAAAGCCATCCTGGAGGCTGGGACAGATGGGGAGTCTGGGTGCATGGGGCCTACCCTAGCACTGGGGCAAATAGCCTGGGTCTGTAGGTGGTGGGTGGCCTAGCACTGAGGTGCGGCGGAACTGGATCCATGGGAGCTCACCTGCAGGCTGAGTCTGCATGGACTTTGCTATCAGGGTAATATTTGCTTTGTAAAATGAATTTGTGAGCACACCCCTCTTTATTGCTTTTTTTTTTGAAGAGATTGTGTAGAATCAATGTTAATTCTTTAAATGTCTGGTAGTATTCCCCAATGATTTTATATAGGCCTGCAGATTTAGGGGGAGACTTTTTAAATTAACAATTCAGTTTTCTTTGAAGTTCTGGAACTATTCCAATAATCTATTTCATATTGAGTGGGTTGTAGAAGTTTATGTTTTTTAAGGAATTGGTCCATTTCATCTGGGTTGTCAAATTTGTGTGTGTGAACTTGTTCATAGTTGCCCATTATTGTCCTTCTGATGTCTAAAAGGTTTAAAGTGATATCCACTGTTTCATTTCTGATATTGGTAAATGTGTCTCCTATTATTATTTTTTTATTCTTTTTCAGTCTTGCTACAGGTTTGTCAATTTTCTGATCTTTTCAAGTAAGCAGACCTCTATTATATTTCTGTTTTTGGTTTAATTTATTTCTAGTCTTTATTATTTCTTTCCTTCTGCTTGCTTGTTTTATTTTTTTCTTCTTTTTCAAAGTTTTCTAAGTTTCTGAGTTGAGCTTAGATTATTGTTTTGATACTTTTCTTCTTTCTAATATATGCATTTATTGCTATAATTTGTTTAACACTGCTTTAACTGTGTCCCACAAAACTGCAATATATTTTTTTTACTTTATTTGAGACTTTCCTTTGGCCCATGAATTACTTAGAAATGTGTGGTTTTAGTCTGTAGTGATTTTCCTCTTACCTTTCTGTTATCAATTTCTCATAAGATTTCATTGTATTTGGCAAATATACTCTGTATTATTTCAATTCTTTTAAATTTGTTGAACTTTGCCCTGGCTGGTGTGGCTCAGTGGACTGAGTGCTGGCCTGTGAACCAAAGGGTCGCAGGTTCAATTCCTAGTCTAGGTCACATGCCTGGGTTTCATTTGGGCCAGGTTCCCAGTAGGGGGCATGTGAGAGACAACCACACAATGATGTTTCTCCCTCCTTTCCCCTCTCTAAAAATAAAATAAAATCTTTTTAAAAATAAATAAATTTGTTTAATTTCATTTTATCATTTAGGGTATGGTCTATCTTGGACACTTAAAAAGAATGATATTCTGCTGTTCTTGGACAGAGTGTTCTGTGATTTAAAATGTTGGCCAATGGTATTGAATTTTTCTACACACTAATATTCTGTCTAGTTGTTCTATCAACTGTTAAAAGAAAGATGTTGAAACACCCAACTATAATTGTGGATTTTCCTAAAACAGAAAAGTTCTATCAGTGTTTGCTTCAAATGTTTTGCAACTTTCTTGTTTGGTATAACAAGTTTTATAAGAAAGTTTTACTTTCTTGTAAAAGTGGTATAAACACTTTTAGGATTGCTCTGACATCTTGTTGGATTGATCTTTAATCATTATATAATATTCTTCTGTCTGGGGTAATTTTCTTTCCCTGAAATCTACTTTATCTGGCATTAATATAACTACTCTTGTGTTTATTAATTAATATTGTATTATATATTTTACCTATACCTTTATTTTCAACCTACCTATAGTGTTATATTTCAAGTAAGAGTCTTGCAGACAGCATATCTTGGGTCATGTTTTTAATCCAGCATACCAATTCTTTCTTTTAATTTCTGTATTTAGGCTCCTTATATTTAGTGCAGTTATTTATAAATATGTTAATACTTATGTCTACCATTTTATTTTTGTTTGTTCTGTTTTTCAGTTCTCTATTATATTTTCCTGACTTCCTTTGCATTATTTGATTTTTTTTTACAATTCCACTTCCATCTACAGTGTTTTGAGTATATCACTTTGGATAGCTTTTTCTAGTGGTTACCTAGATGTTGCATTATATATATAGAACTTACGACAGTCTATTATTATTATTACTTTACTGGTATTAATTTACTGGTATTATTTTACAGTATTATTATTACTGGTTTGAGTGAAATAGAGAAATCTCAGTTCCTGTACATTCTTTTACCCTATCTACTTATAATCTTTACTACTTCCAGTACATACATTTAGAACCATATCAGACAGTGCTTCAACAATCAAATAATTTAGAAAACCAAATAAGACAAACTCTATCATATTAACCAATACTTTTGCTTACCAGGTTCTTTTGTTCCTTCTTAATGCTCTGAGTTCCTTCTCTTACCACTTCCTTTCTGTTTAGAGAACTTCCTTTAAACATTCTTTTAGGGTAGGTCATGTAGGTTGCACCACTTTACACTCCCACCAACAGCACACAAGACTTCCTTCCAATTTCTCCACATCTTTGCCAATACTTGTTATTTTTAGGGTTATTTTTTTAGTAGTCTTCACAATGGTTGTGAAATGATATATCATTGTGGTTTGGATTTGCTTTTCTCAAATGATTATTGATGTTGAGCACTTTTTCATATGCTTGTTGGTCATATGTGTATCATGTTTGGAGAAATATGTATACAAGTCCATTGCTCATTTTTTATTTGGGTTATTTGCTTTGCTGTTGGTGTTGAGTTGTAGGAGTTTTTACTATATTCTGGATATTATCATATCAGTTACATGATTTACAAATACTTTCTCATACCCCATAGCTTGCCTTTCCATTCTGTTGTGTCCTTTGATACAGGTGTCTTAAGTTTGGTGTAGTCCCAGAAAAGGGGCTTCCAATATTTTTTAATTTAATCTTTATTATATTTTTCCATTACCATTGAGTCCCCTTATACTAACCCCCACCACAATCCCCACACTGTTGACCATGTCCATGAGTCCTTTTTCCCTTTTGCTCAATCCCTCCACCCCCTAACCTCCCCACTAGCTGTCATCTGTTCTCCATCTATGAGTCTGTCTCTATTTTGCTTGTTAGTTCAGTTTGTTCATTAGATTCCACATATGAGTGAAATCATATGGTATTTGTATTTCTCTGACTGGCTTATTTCACTTAGCATAATGTTCTCCAGGTCCATCCATATAGTTGCAAATGGTGAAAGTTTCTTCTTTTTGTGACCAAGTAGTATTCCATTGTGTAAATGTCCCATAGTTGTTTTGTCCACTCATCTATTGATGGACACTTGGGCTGCTTCCATATCTTGGCAATTGTAAATAACGCTGCAATGAACATAGGGGTGCTTATGTTGTTTTGAATTAGTGTTTTGGGTTCCTTCAGATATATGCCCAGAACCAGGATCACTGGACCAAAAGGCAGATCCATTTTCAATTTTTTGAGGTACCTCCACACTGCTTTCCACAGTGGCTGCCCGAGTCTGCATTCCCTACAACAGTGTGAAAGGGTTCAAGGGGCTTACTTTAAAGATTAGTACACCTAAGGCAATTTCCCCCTCCATTCTATCTCCTTTCCTAGATAATTTAAAATTTGAACTTCTTAATCTCTACAGGCCAAATTACTGAAGGAAACTTCATCTAATTCACTTTTTTAAAGAAAGCATTAAATCTTCTAGGTTTCTAATTGTCATAGTGTTGTAAGAGAATAAAACTTCCATTAATTTTGCATATTTTTGCCTATTTTGTATTACTGTAGCTGTAAGATATGTTTTTTATGCACTTTCTAGGCACACAGGAGTTACTAACAAAAAATAATAGTTTTAAACTTGGAACACTGCTCTGACATCTTTATATCAGGAAGGGAAGGTAAATCCTAATCATGAATTTTTATTTACCACTGGGAGGCAATATTCTTGTGAATTATTTCATAAAAGTGTGTCTATATAATCTATTTGCCATAATTTTTCCCAAGCTTATCTCCTCTGTTAATTCATTTCTCCCATGGTAGAATCATTAGAATGGCTTGTATTTTGGGGCCACTTTGAGATTGTACTTAAAGCTATTATTATTTGGATTTCATTTCTTTCTAACCATTGCTATATTTCTGTAACCTATAGTGCCATGAATTTTACAGATAGCACTCTGCCAATTTGCAGACCAAATAGTAATGCCATTCATTACTATTTACACAGGAATGAGCTATGATCAATTATTATGTAAAAAATTAATATAATAGTAGCTTCCAAGTTATTTACCCAGCAAGCTATCCTAGAAGTCATGGAACAGAATAGCTCCCATACCAAATGAAGTTGCTTAAGAAACATGCCTTATTAAATAAGTTTAAGTACACAACAAAGAGCATGGAGACGATATGGATGACACACTTTGGATAAGATACAAGCAGGGTGGAACCTTATTATCTGAGTAATGCAAGATCATCTGTCCTCTCTCCCTCTCTGCTGTATCAGCATTCTCCACTGATTGTGTAATTCTAGGAACCCAAGTTGAGGTCTGTTCAAGGGGGATCAACATACAGTACATACAATGGGCCAACCGCATGCACTTGCTCTGACCAGAGAGATGCAGAGGGGCGCATATGCCTGACCACAGCTATACCTCATCAATTAGCCTAATAAGCTACTCTGGATTTTATTTATGCTTCTTTAGTAGAGGACCCAAAGGATCAAGTGGGTGTTACCAATTAAGACCCAATAAGAACCCAACAATATCAAGTGCTTCAATTGTGTCTTAAGAACACATAATATCTATTTGCCTTTCTATTCCTTCCTATGTTTAACACTCATATGCTCTGTATATTCTATACCTATCATAATGAGCTTCATAACTACTTGATTCTATACTTAGTTTCACATGTCCTCATTATTTTATATAGCCTTCTCTATTTAGTTTCACATATCCTCCTTTGTTCTTATTTTCTGTAACAGAATTGAGTATTTTATCACAATACAGCTGACACACATTATAGCAAACAATCATTAATGAGAATGAAAATCTCTATATATACTGACTAGAAGTGTCCTCAAGATACAGTTAGTGAATAAAACAAGGTGATGAGAAATGTATATACAATGCTCTTACTCCTGTAGGGGAAAATGTGCTTGCATTTAGTAACATTTTTCTGGCAGGACACAGATGAAACTGGTGATGGTAATTTCCTCTCAGGAGAATAACTGGATGGCACACATATTCTTTTGAACTTTTAAAACTGCATGAGACATATACATTACCTATTGAGAAATTAGTTATTTAAAAATTTACTCATAAAAATACTAAATTATTTTTCCTTTTCTACATACAGATATCAGAATGGCAGCACAGCTAAACCTGCCAGAAAATACAGATGACTGGACAAAAGAGGATGTAAATCAGTGGTTAGAAAGTCATAAAATTGACCAAAAACACAGGGAAAAATTGATGGCACAAGATGTGAATGGAGGAGTCTTGAAGTGGTTAACTAAAAGTGACCTCATTGACATGGGCCTAACACATGGACCAGCTATCCAAATAGAACATCTATTTAGAGAACTGCAGAAAATACACTCTGAAGATCCTACTCAGGCATGTAAGAGGAAAAAAGGCAGTAAAAATGTTCCTAAAACACAAGCTTTGATGAAAGAGGAAAATGAAGCTTCAAAGCAAAAACAAAATGATAAAGAGAAATCAGATATGCCTAATGCCTCTACAGTTACTACAGTTTCTGAGTCACTAAAAAATGAGTCCATGTTAGATGAAATAGATGGCACAAAGGAAAAGCAGCCATCCGTAGAACTGACATGTGTACCATACCCTTTTGATGAATTCAGTAATCCATATCGTTACAAAGTGGATTTTTGTTTACAGCCTGAAACAGGACCACTCAATCTCATTGATGCAATACATGAATTCAAAACCTTCACAAATACAAAAACAGCCACAGAAGAGGACATTAAAATGAAATTTAGCAATGAAGTCTTCCGATTTGCTTCAGCTTGTATGAATTCACGAACCAATGGCACCATTCATTTTGGAGTCAAAGACAAACCCCATGGAAAAATTGTTGGCGTGAATGTCACCAATGTCACCAAAGAAGCCCTCATTGAGCACTTTGATCTGATGATCCACCAGTATTTTGAAGACCATCAGGTCCAAATAGCAAAGAAGTGCATTCGAGAGCCAAGATTTGTAGAAGTTTTACTGCCAAATAGTACTCCATCTGACAAATTTGTTATTGAAGTGGATGTCATTCCGAAATACTCTGAATGTGGACATGATTATTTCCAGATTAAAATGCAAAATTGCAACAACAAAAAATGGGAACAAAGAACAAAATTCTCGGTCTTTGTGCGAGATGGGGCCAGCACTAAAGATATCATGAAAAATAATGCAGAATTCAAAGACTTTACATTAGGTTTAAAAACACTGGCAAAGTCAAGACAAGAAGCAGAAGAAAAATGTAGAGTAAAAACAAATAAAAAAGAGAGTGAGGGACCAAAGCTTACTCAATTGTTGACGGGAAATCAGGACTTGTTAGATAATTCATACTATGAATGGTACATTCTTGTAACAAATAAATGCCACCCTAATCAAATAAAACACTTAGATTTCCTAAAGGAAATTCCATGGTTTGCTGTGTTGGAGTTTGATCCTGAGTCTGTAAGCAAGGGTGTAGTGAATGCTTACAAAGAAAGCCGAGTGGTAAACCTTCACTTGCCAAGTCTGTATATAGAGGGGAAAACCACAACAGATGAGAAGATTTCTAGCCTGAATCTTTACCAACAACCCAGCTGGATTTTCTGCAATGGCAGGTTAGACCTTGAGAGTGAAAAATATAAACCCTTAGATCCAAGTTCCTGGCAAAGAGAAAAAGCATCTGAAGTCAGGAAATTGATATCATTTCTTACACATGAAGACATAATGCCAAGAGGGAAGTTTCTGGTGGTATTTCTATTACTCTCCTCCGTGGATGACCCAAGAGACCCCCTCATTGAGACATTCTGTGCTTTCTACCAAGATCTCAAAGGAATGGAGAATATATTGTGCATTTGTGTACACTCACACATATGTCAGAGATGGAAAGATCTACTTGAAGCAAGATTAATAAAAAAACAAGATGAATTATCAAGCCAATGTATTTCTTCTTTAAGTCTTGAAGAGATAAATGGTACTATTCTTAAACTAAAATCTGTGACTACATCCTTAGAGAGGTTTTTGCCATCTATTGGTTCATCTTCTGTCCTTCTGAAAAGGGAAGAAGATACCATGACTGCTCTGGAAATTCTCTGTGAAAATGAATGTGAAGGTACACCCTTAGAAAAGGACAAAAATAAATTTCTTGAATTCAAGGCTTCAAAAGAGGAAGACTTCTATCGAGGTGGTCAAGTATCCTGGTGGAACTTCTACTTTTCTTCTGAAAGTTATTCTTCACCTTTTGTCAAAAGGGATAAATATGAAAAACTTGAAGCAATGATTCAAAGCTGTGCAGATTCTTCTAAGCAAACATGTGTTAAAATTATTCATCTGTATCATCACCCAGGCTGTGGCGGGACTACTTTGGCTATGCATATTCTTTGGGAACTAAGGAAGAAATTCAGATGTGCTGTGCTGAAAAACAAGACAGTAGATTTTTCTGAAATTGGAAAACAAGTGACTAATTTAATCACCTATGGGGCAGCAAACAATCAAGAATACCTACCTGTACTGCTTCTTGTTGATGATTTTGAAGAACAAGGTGATATCTATCTTCTGCTGGCCTCTATTCAAACAGCTATAGCTAGTAAGTACATTCGATATGAGAAACCTTTAGTGATCATCCTAAATTGCATAAGATCACAGAATCCTCAAAAATGTGTAAAGAACTCAGACAGTATCGCCCTAATACAACAACTATCTTCCAAAGAACAGAAAGCTTTTGAGCTTAAATTGAAAGAAATTGAAGAGCAACACAAAAACTTTAAAGATTTTTATTCCTTCATGATCATGAAAACCAATTTTAATAAGGAGTACATAGAAAATGTGGTCAGGAATATCCTAAAAGGACAAAATATTTCCACCAAGGAAGCAAAGCTCTTTTCTTTTCTGGCTCTTCTTAATTCATATGTGCCTGATACCACCATTTCACTTTCACAATGTGAAAAGTTCTTAGGAATAGCAACCAAGAAGGCTTTCTGGGGAACAGAAAAATTTGAAGACAAGATGGGCACCTACTCTACAATTCTGATAAAAACAGAGGTGGTAGAATGTGGAAAGTACTCTGGAGTGCGCATTATTCACCCTTTAATTGCCACTCGCTCACTGGAAGAATTGAAGATAAGCTATCATTTGGATAAAAGCCAAATTATTTTGGATATGCTAACAGAAAATTTGTTCTATGATACTGGTATAGGAAGAAGCAAATTTCTCCAAGATATGCAAACACTGCTGCTCACAAGACAGCGCAATGAACGTGAAGGTGAAATGGGAACTTGGTTTTCCCCATTCATTGAAGCATTACATAAAGATGAAGGGAACCCAGCAGTTGAAAAAGTATTGCTGGAAGGTATTCGTCGGTTCAACCCAAATGCATTCATTTGTCAAGCCTTGGCAAGACATTTCTACATTAAAGAGAGGAACTTTACCAGTGCCCTTCATTGGGCAAGTCAAGCAAAAAAGATAGAACCTAGTAATTCTTATATTTCTGATACACTGGGTCAAGTCTACAAGAGTAAAATAAGATGGTGGATGGAAAATAAGGAAAGAAAGAACACTTCAGTTGCTGATCTAATTGATCTTTTGGATTTAGCAGTAAGTGCCTCAAATGCATTCAAAGAATCTCAACAGCAAAGTGAAGACAGAGAGAATGAGGCGACAGAAAGGTTTTATCAGAAGTCAAAGAGGCGGTATGATACTTACAATATTGCTGGTTATTATGGGGAGATAGAAGTTGGGCTCTACACAATCGAGATTCTCCAGCTCATTCCTTTTTTTGACAATAATAATGAACTATCTAAAAAAGAGATGATCAATTTTATATCAGGAAGTAGTGATATTCCTGGGGATCCAAACAATGAATTTAAATTAGCCCTCAAGAACTTTATTCCTTATCTAACTAATTTGAGATTTTCTTTGAAAAAGTGCTTTGACTTTTTTGATGATTATTTTGTCCTTCTAAAACCCAGGAACAACATTAAGCAAAATGAACAGTCCAAAACTCGGAAAAAGGTAGCTGGATATTTTAAAAAGTATGCAGATATATTTGGTCCCTCAGAGGACTTACAAGACAAAAATCTCAGATCAAAGCTTAGTTTGCCACTTCAAGTAGAACTGTGTTGGAAAAGCCTAGAAGTTTCAAAAGCAGACAAGTTTTCTGGGCTCTTGGAATACCTAATCAAAAATCAAGAAGAGGCTATTAAACCCATGGAAGATATAGTGAAACAATACACTTTTCTCATTGAACAATACGCTGTCAGAATCCAGCCAAAGGAAAAGCAAAATTTCATCTTGGCCAATATCATTCTCTACTGTATTAAACCTACCTCCAAATTTGTAAAGCCAATTAAAAAACTGAAAGATCAGCTTCGAGAAGTCTTGCAACAAACAGGACTGCATCATCGATTTTCAGAACCTTATTTCCTAGCTTCCCTCTTATTCTGGCCAGAAAACCAACAACTAGATCAAGATTCTAAACAAATGGACAAGTATACTCAGTCACTGGAAAATTCTTTCAGGGGACAATATAGACATATGTATCGTACAAAGCAACCAATTGCATATTTCTTTCTTGGGAAAGGTAGCAATATGAACAGACTTGTCCACAAAGGGAAAATTGATCAGTGCTTTGGAAAGACACCTGATAATTCCTTGTGGCAGAGTGGAGAGGTATGGAAGGAGAAAAAAGTCCAAGAACTTTTGCTTCGTTTAAAGGGACGAGTTGAACATAATTGTTTATACATAGAATATGGAACCAATGAAAAAATCACAATACCCATCACACCTACTTTCTGGGGTCAGCTAAGAAGTGGTAGAAGCATAGAAAAAGTGTCTTTTTACCTGGGATTTTCCATTGGAGGCCCACTTGCTTATGACATTGAAATTATTTAAGAGTTTGATTTTCTCTCTCCAGGAATGTAGTCTCAATATCATTTTTTTGAGACCCAAGACCTTTACTTTAAATTACTGTTAAGTATGTTATGAGTCCTACACAGACTGTAGAAAAAAAGAAGTGTGGAATGTATCAAATATCTTACTTGGTATGGATAACAGCATCAAGAACAAAATAAAAAGGAGCTCTGTATGGAATTAGGACAAACGAATGTATTACATCAGCCACAGAGCCTCATAAAACTTCCCCCAATTACCCAACCAAGGCATGAACTGAGAAAGAGTGTCTCCTTTCTTCTCAATTGTAAAAACTTTTCAGAATAGGAAAACATAGTTATAATTCTAAGACATGACAATACCTCAGAGACCATTTCATTAAAAAATGAAAACTTCTCAAGCTAAGGAGCAATATTTATTCTTACCAAGCACACTAGGGCTCAAGGATCTTTCAAAGCAGATGGAGCAACCAATTCACTGAAAGTCAAACCCATAGAGCCAGCAGATCTTACCAAAGTAGGCTGGAGAATTAGACTGCCTTTTCATGCAGTAGGAGGTGGTTGAGCAAAACTGAAAAAAAAAAGTGAGTTTATAGACCTCTGCACAAGCAAAAATACACCCAAACTCCAAAATTAATGAAAAAAAAAGGACTCTTGTGAAAAAAGACTAATTTGTCCCCCATCCAGAAGGTCCTAACATACTGGCAATACATACATATAAGCTATGCATTGAATAAGCACAACCAGTAAAAAGTAATCAAAATGCAATTTTTCTCTAATAAAATTATGAACATGAACAATCATCAACAATTGCCAAAACAAGTAAAAAGCTGATAAACAATTTTATGGCAGATAATTCAGACTTTCCTAAATCCTGATCAATATTAACAGAAAAAGCCAGACGTTATAGAACTACCGGAGTGCACACATCACCCATGACACACTCTTGCCAAGTAACGGGACCTGAGCTTTACCAAACCTCTGGATCTTTCTTACAATGAAAGAAAATAGATGTTGGATATGCCTCAAAGTAATTCCATGTGTAAGGAATAGAGATGGTGAGAGGACAGTAGGTAAGCAGTACAGCTGCAACAAGATTGGACTGGAGTTAATCACCACATGATGCATATATGGAAGTTCATTATACTCTTTTCTTGTCTTTGGACTGTGCTTTTAAAATTTTGTTATAAAAACAAAAAAATTCAGTTTGCTTTTGTCTTCACAATTCCTTTCAAATTCTTCCCTGGGGGGGGTGGAGGAGGGGTGGCAGCAGGTAGGTGGTCTCTTGCTTTTGAGTAAAATTTCAGCTGCCTAATTTATCAGGTCATTCTTGGTTTAAACAAAATCATCTGGTCAAACATTCTTAATTTCAAAAAATGAGAACGTTGCCCTGCCCAGGTGGCTCAGTTGGTTGGAACATCATCCTATACACCAAGAAGTTGCAGGTTTGCTCCCTGGTCAGGGCACATACCTAGGCTGCAGGTCTGATCCAGGTCAAAGCATGTATGGAAAGAAACCAATCAATGTTTCTCTCTCACATCAATGCCTCTCTCTCCCTCCCTCCCCGACTCTCTAAAAATCAGTGAATATATCTTCAGGTGAGGATTAAACAAAAATAAAACAAAAAAATGAGAATGTCCAGTCATATTTTTCTCTGGGGACATATCCCACAGCCCAGGTTTCAGTTTACTCTACATAGAATTGTCTCTAATGGAATTCTCTTGCTTTACCAGGTGATTCTGTTGAACTCAAATTAAACCAGCTTAACAGGTGCTCTCTCTCCCCTGACCTACCTTGGGTGCATAGGAAACACTCATGGATGCTTTTTTTCTACCATTGGTCAGGAGACAGCTCATTTACAGTCTTGGGAATAATACGCCCCATAAAGTCAGAAAGACACAGGGCAACACTCCACACAGACCTCTCTTGAAGTGCTCCACCCCTGTTCCCCACCCCTTCTCTCTAGGCTGAAGATGAGATTCTCATGGTGTTCGGGCAAACTTCTTTCAACAGAACCTCTTCATAAACACCTCTCTTCTTGAATGCCAGCAATGGGCAAACTACAGCCTATAGGCCAAATCCAGCCTGTCTTTTAAATAAGGTTTTATTGGAACACAGTCACAGTCATTTGTCCAAGTATTGGCTATGGCTCCTTTTGCACTGTAACAACAGAGTTGAGTAGTTGTAATAGAGACTATATAGCCCTTGAACCTAAAATATTTACTATTTGGATATTCACGGAAAAAATTCACTAACCCCTGCTCTATACTATCAACTCTTGTCTTTTTTGTAGGTCAGCTGTTGAATAGGTTCTTAGACATTTATTTTGAAAATATGTATTTTTCTCTTTCGGCCAAGATGGAGGCATACGTAGACACACTGTGCCTTCTCCCACAACCAAGATAGGGACAACAACAGTTTAGAAACAGAATAACAACCAGAACTGACAGAAAATTGAACTGTATGGAAGTCGGACAACCAAGAAGTTAAAATAGACACGTTCATCCAGACCAGTAGGAGGGGCAGAGTCGGGCAGCTGGGTGCAGAGGAGTCACAGCACAAAGAGCAGTGGGATCAGGCACATAAGGCATCCTGGGTGCAAGACCGCAGCAGGTGGACCCTGGGTGTGCAGGCGGTCACTGGCAGACCCTGGGTGCAGGGTGGCAACCAACAGACCAGCGAGGTAGTGATTGTGAAGTAAGGCACTGCATGCAACCCAGGATCCCAGCGCCAGAAAATAGAGCCCTGGGGAACTAATTGAAAACACCTGTGGGGGTTGTGGCATAAGGAGAGACTCCCAGCCTCACAGGAGAGTTCGTTGGAGAGACCCATGAGGTTCTAGAATGTACACAAGCCCACCCACACAGGAATTAGCACTAGAAAGCCCCAGTCTGCTTGGGGAAGCAGCGGAAGGGATTGAAGTCCAACAGAGAGTGGAGCAAGTGCGATTGTTCCCTCTTGGACTCCGCGCCCACATACAGCGCAGTTACAACCCAGTGACTGGGCTGACCCACCCTGGTGAACACCTAAGTATGAACACCCTCATACTTAGCAGGTACAACAAGACAAAAAAAAAAAAAGGCCCAAATGGAAGAACAGATCAAAGCTCCACAGCAAATACAACTTAGCGACCAAGAGATAGCCAACCTACCAGATGCACAGGTTCAAGGCACTGGTGATCCGGATGCTCACAGAATTGGTTGAATTTGGTCACAAATTAGATGAAAAAATGAAGGCTACGCTAAGTGAAATGAAGGAAAATGCACAGGGAACCAATAGTGATGGGAAGAAAACTGGGATTCAAATCAATGGAGCAGACCAGAAGGAAGAAAGAAACAACCAAACAGAAAAGAATGAAGGAACAAGAATTCAAAAAACTGAGGAGAGGCTTGGGAACCTCCAGGACATCTTTAAACATTCCAATATCTGAATTATAGGGGTACCAGAAAAAGAAGAGGAAGAGCAACAAGTGGTAAAATTATTTGAACATATAATAAAGAAGAACTTCCTCAATCTGGCAAAAGAAATAGACTTCCAGGAAGTCCAGGAAGCTCAGAGAGTCCCAAAGAAGTTGAACCCAAGGAGGAACACAACAAGGCACATCATAATTACATTAGCCAAGGTAAAAATGAAGGAGAGAATCCTAGAAGCAACAAGAGATAAGGAGACAGTAACCTACAAAGGAGTTCCCATCAACCTGTCAGCTGATTTCTCAAAAGAGATCTTACAGGCAAGAAGGGGCTGGAAAGAAGTATTCCAAGTCATGAAAGGCAAGGACCTACATCCAAGATTTCTCTATCCAGCAAAGCTTTCATTTAGAATGGAAGGGCAGATAAAGTGCTTCTCAGATAAGGTCAAGTTAAAGGAGTTCATCATCACCAAGCCCTTATCATATGAAATGTTAAAGGGACTTACCTAAGAAAAAGAAGATAAAGAAAACATGTATAGTAAAATGACAGCAAACTCACAATTATTAACAACCACACCCAAAACAAAAACAAAAGCAATGCAAACAAATAGAACAGGAACAGAACCACAGAAAGGGAGATCACATGGAGGGTTAGCAACAGGGGAATGCGAGGGGGAAGGAGGGGGAAAAGGTACAGAGAATAAGTAGCATAGATGGTTGGTAGAAAACAGATAGCAGGAGGGTAAGAATAGTATAGGAAATGTAGAAGCCAAGAACTTATAGGTACACCCCACGGACATTAACTAAAGGGGGGGAATATGTGTGGGAGAGGGTATGCAGGGCGGAGGGGAGTGAAGGGGGGAATAGGACAACTATAACAGCATAATCAATAAAATATGTTTTAAAAGAGAAAAGAAGAAATAAAACTCTTTCCATTCAAAATGACAATTTTCTAAGTACAAAATCCAATAGAATCTACAAAAAATCCACCTAGAACTAACAAGTGAGGTCACAGGATACAAAATAAACACACAAAATTCAATTTTCTTTCACATATGAGCAATGAACATATGACACTAAAATATCATTCATAACAAAATAAAATATGAAATATTTCAAAAAGTGAAATATTTAAATGTAAGTCTAACAAAACATGGGTATAGCTTTGCTGACAATTACAAAATGCTAATGAAAAAATCAAAGTTCTAAATAAATCGAGAGACATGTCATGTTCATGAATTAGAAGACTCAGCACATTAAAGTATCTATTCTTCCCCACTTGATATACAGTGTTAGTGCTGTTTTCTATTAAGAATCCAGCAAGATTCCTCATAGATATAAACAAGATTATTGTAAAATTTATATGGAAAGACAAAGGAAGTAGAAGAGCTAAAACAACTTTTAAAAAGAAGAATAAAGTGGAGAAATCAACATCTGATTTCAATGTTCTCCATTTGTATAATTTTGTCATTTCAAGATTGTTGTTGCCAGGAGTTAAGTCCCACTGGAAAAGTAGGGAGAAGGTTGGGTGTAGTTATAAAAGTGCAATAAAAGTGATCCTTGTGGGGATGGAATTATCTGTATTTTGACTGTATCAATGTTAAAATACTGCTTGTGGTTTCATACTTAGCTTTCCAACATATTATCATCAGGGGAAATTAGCCAAAATATACACTGGATCTGTCTGTATAATTTCTAGCAATTGCTTGTCAATCTACAGTCTTCCTCTCAAAAGTTTTTTAATTAAAAAAAGTTAAAGGAATACTATGAATATTTACACCAAAAACTTTGAAAACGAGTAAATTCACATGTTTATGAATTTGTATTTATAAATGTGTATATATATAGTGTGCATAACATATTAAGTAACATATATAAAATATATGAATAAGTAATACATATTACTTAAAAAACTGTTAATAGCCCCTGGCATGCTATAGCATTGCAGTTACAAGATTTTCATCTGTGGTAAATCCGGATGGGGTACAGTGGAAGGAGATGCACTGACCTATGTAATACTTCTGGCACTTGAGACTTACAGGAAAATATTAGCTATTAAGCCTGTGGAATTAGTCCGTGGTTGCTAGGCCCTACCGAAGCAATGAAGAGAGGACAACATGCTCAAGTCACAGCAGAGTTGTAGAAGCGGGATTCCATTGTCCAACACCTCAAGGCCTATCAGTTCTCTAATCTGAGCTACTGCTGAATGTTTTAGAAAATGAAGAATTGTTACCTCTCCTGTGTATCTAGTGCATTATTTTGCATCAGCCAGTAGTGGAAACATGTTAACAGGTTAGTAGATATTATTCTCCAAAGGTTTTTATTGGTCTGATCATTTCCATTTGCCCCATAGCTCTACTCTCTTCCCTTCTTCACCCTCTCTTCTGCCCCAGTTGCTCACCTACATGGACTACAACAATAGGCCCCTCTTACCTTCTGGCTTCCAGCTGGGATTGGCCATTAGGACACCTTAATAAGTAAATAGAAGGAGAAGGGTAAGGATACTTATTATCCTGTCTTCCTCTTTGCAAAATCACCCTTCTGGCTGTGTTCCTGACTCAAGGTAATTGCTTCCTTCTAAGGAGCCTTCTTGACAAGACTCTCTCCCATTTGGGGTTCCAAAACCTTTCCTTGTTTTCATTTCTTCAGGCCTCATGGGAACCAGCTCTGCTGCCAGTAACTCCAGGACAAGGCTTACAGTTTCCCTCCACCGATACCTTTTTGTATGTTCCCTTTAATAACCTTCCTCAAATTTTCCTAATTTGCATGTGTCATCTATTTCCTTCTGAAATCTGA